GGGGCACTGCTCACCCGTGGGGCCAGGAATGGCTCCTGTAGGGCGCTGCTCACACATGGGGTATGAGTTGCTCCTGTAGGGCATCACTGACCCCTGGGGCTGGGAACGGCTCCTGCAGGGCACTGTGGAGCTGAGGCCAGCTGGGAGCACCCCTGCCACGGCCAGGTGCCGATCTGCCGCCCTTCCCATCCACAGCCAGCGGTTACTGCCCCAGCATGGCGGGGCTGCAGATCCTGCAGCAGCCACAGCCGTGCCGCCTGGCCGAGGGGGACCCTCTGGTGCTGGAGTGCAGAGCCCTGGGGAACCCACCGCCGCAGTACCAGTGGTTCAGGAACCGGCGCCCCGTGGAGGGTGCACGAGGACCACGGCTCCAGGTGCTGTAGAGCCCTTGTCTGGCACTGCGTGGCACGGCATGGGGCAGCAGGGCATGGGGTGGCACAGCATGGGGTGGCACGGTGGTCCCAGCTCTCCATCCCCTGCAGGTGCAGCTGGTGACGACAGCTGAGCGGGGCACGTACTCCTGTCGTGTGTTCAACCTCTTCCATGAGCTGTGGAGCCAGGAAGTGGATGTGGAGATCGGTGAGGGTGACCTCTGCATCTCCTGCTCCCCACCCTACAGTACCCTGGGTGCTGCAAAGCCCCGCAGTCCCATAACTGCTCCCTCCTGACCCCACTTTGTGCTGCCCAGGCCCGCGGCTCTTTGCCTCCGGAGCCCCCTGGCAGGAAGGGGATGGAGGTAGGTGCAGGTGGTGGCACTGTCCCATCGCTGTGCTCGGGGCCGTTGCCACCATCTCTCTCTTTGCAGACTCCCCGGAGCCCGGCAGCCCCGACCAGCTGTATGGTGAGATCCCATCCAGGAGGGGCAGGGGACCCTGCGGGGGATGCAATGCAATGTGGGGCGCTGGGGACAGCGTGAGAGTCCCTCTGTGTCCCCCTCTGTCCCTGCAGCCACCGACAAAGTGGCACTGCTGGTGGGCAACATGCACTACCTGCACCACAAAGACCTGCGGGCGCCCATGGTGGATGTGCACGCGCTCAGCGCGCTGCTGCGGCAGCTCGACTTCAAGGTGGTGTCGCTGCTGGACCTGCGCCGGGATGAGATGCAGATGGCAGTCGATGAGTTCCTGCTGCTCCTCGACAAAGGGGTCTACGGTGGGGCAGCTCCTGGGGGGCTGCGGGGCTCCCAGGGGTGGGCTTTGGGGCGGCAGGGCAGAGCCGTGGGGCTTGGGGACGCGCGAGTTGGGGTGAGACGTGCCACCATCCCCCCTCCCACCAGGATTGCTGTACTATGCTGGACACGGCTACGAGAACTTTGGCACCAGCTTCATGGTGCCCATCGACGCGCCCGGCTCCTACACCTCCGCCCACTGCCTGTGTGTGCAGCACGTGCTGCAGCGCATGCAGCGGCGCCGCACCGGCCTCAACATCTTCCTGCTCGACATGTGCCGCAAGAGGTGACCCCACGTCCCACCTACGGGGGCATGGAGTGAGGGGTCCCCGCGCCCCCCACCTGTGACCTTTTTGGGTGGCACCCCCACGGGGCCCCACAGCTCTCAGCAGCCCTTCTCTCGCAGGAACCTCAATGATGACGTCCTCCCGCAGGTCGGGGCGCTGGAGGTGACGGCCAACATCGTCTTCGGCTACGCCACGTGGGTCCCCTCTCGTGCACCCTCCTTTCTGTGGGGCCAGGAGGACACAACCCCCTGGGGCAGGAATGGGGTCGGGTTCTGATATCTCAGCCCTATTGGCATTTTTCCCTGATGTGTGGATATGCTGTGACTCCATGGCACCGCTCCGGGCTCCCGGGGATGCCGTCCTTTATGGGGTTGGAGATGCTCATGGCTGCACCAGGCAACACCCAAGGGCTCAGAGCACCGAAGCTCACCTGGATTGCAGGGATTTGGGTTGAGGACGCCCCACCCCAGTGGGATTCCTGCAGCACAGGTGAGGCTCCCAGCACCTTAACCCACCCTCCCCATCCCCACAGATGCGCGGATGCCGAAGCCTATGAGCTGAGCCAGGGCGAACTCTCCAATGGTGTCTTTGTCACCTTCCTCAAGCGCTGGCTGCTGGAGGACGAGAAGATCACGGTGCTGCTGGACAAGGTGGCCGAGGGTGAGTGCTGCGCAGCGGGGCTTGGAGGGGCCAAAATCCCCCGCTGAGCCCACGCTGTGCCCGGCCCTGCAGACATGGGCACGCTGGAGCTGACGCGGGGCCGCCAGGCGCTGGAGCTGCGCAGTAACCTGTCGGAGAGGCGGGCGCTGACCGACCCCATCCGCTCCTTGGGACGGGCTGAGACCTCTGCCAGGAACCTGCAGTGGGCCAAGGCTCACGGTGTGTGCCACTGCTGCGTCCCCCAGCGGGTGGGGGCACGGAGGGGGCAGCGCCGAGGCACGGGACGGCGGCACGCGGCGTCTCCAATGCACCCCGGCTTCGCGTTGGGGCCGCCTCAAGTGTCACCTCCAGTGTCAGCCCAAGTGCTGGCAGGGACCAAAGTGGTGTCACCAAGTTGCTCGCTGTCCCTGCAGTCCTCCCAGAGAGTCGCCACCTCCGCTTTGACTGCGGTGTCACCGTGCAGCTGGGCTTTGCTGCTGAGTTCTCCAACATCATGATCATCTACACCCGCATCCTGGCCGCCCCTGGGGACATCACTGAGTGCGTGGCCAAGCTCACCGACCTCCCCGAGGTGGGGTGGCACCCCTGGAGGGGCAGCACTTGGGCTGGGGGGCTCCCACGCTGCCTTCCTCTAACCTGAAATCCCCCATGGCAGGAGCTGGACGTGGACCTGAAGTACACCAACAGGGAGAGCCCCGAGGAGCTGGGCAGCCCCTTGGTGCCCACCTGGAGCCTCACCTGTCCGTCCTGCTGCCTCTACAGCCGCCTCTGTGGGCTGCAGAGATTGCAGGTAAGAGCTGTGCCACACCGGGTGCACGGGGGGGGAAGGGGGGTCATGTGAAGCCCCCCTGTGCCCACATTGCTGTGCCCTGCAGCAGGAGCTGACCTTCACCGTGTGCCTGCAGTTCCGCTACCGCGGCGTGGCCGACTTTGTGGAGGAGCGGCGGGCGGTGAGTGTGGGGCGGCCGCTCATTGCCAAGCTCAATCTGAGCCCCCGGGACCCCGGCACGCCGCCCGCCTCGGGGGGGTCCGGCAGCCCCCTGTCCGCATCGCCCCCCGGCAGCTGGGGGAACAGCCCCGAGGAGAACCTGAGCCCCCAGGTGCATGGATCGCATGGGGTGTAAGGGGGCACGTCTGTGTATGGGGCACTGGCACCCCATATAGAGAGCAGTGTCACCCTATGTGCAGGGCACTGCCATCCCATTGTAGGCAGGGCTGTGCCACCCCATACGCAGAGCAGCATCACCCCACATACAGGGCTGTGCCACCCCACGCACAGCGCGGTGCCTCCCCATACACAAAGCTGGGTCACCCCATGTGCAGCGCAGGGCCACCCCGTACACAAAGCTGTGTCACCCTATTCACAGTACACAGCCACCCCATATTCAGGACAGTGTCAGCTCCGTGTCCCTTAGCAGAGCAATGAACCCCATATACGGGGAGGTTCCACCCCATATACAGAGCAATGCCAGTCTCATGTATCCTCACAGGGCAGCGCCACCCCATATGGACACCACAGCCCCCCATGTGCCCCGGCAGCTGTGGGGTGGGCAGGGGGCAGGGCCGGGTGCTGCAGCTCAGCAAGGCGTCGCACCGGGGCGGGATTGGGCTCATTCAGGCCTAGGAGAAATAGAGAGAAATAAGCAGATTAGGGGGCAAATCCCACTGGGGGGGGCTGGGAGGGGAGGAGTGGAGAGCTCCCGCAAGGCCGTGGGGTGAAGATTTTGGGGGATGATTGAAATGTGGGGTGGGGAGGAGGAAGAACGCCTTTCTGCTCCGATGAAGGGAGCCGGGGGCCCTCGCTGCTGTGCGCCAACGCCGTGGGGCGGCGGTCGGGGCCCCTCGACCCAATTAGGGTGGGCTATGGGGCAGCCCCCTCCCCGCCACCCGCCCTTTGTTGGCCGAGGGCCGCCCGGGCGTCGCGGCGGGGTCGGCGCCAACCTCTGCCATTATGTCATGCGAAAGGCGCAGCCCCCATTCAGCGCGTCCCGTCCCCCGGATCAAACCCCATTACTTCCACAGCCGTTGCTTCATTATCTCCCGCGCCGAGCACGCCTCTGCCCGTGGCCCATTAGCTGGGCTGGGGGGCCGGGGGAGCATCGATTATGCGTTTAATGGGTTGTTAAAGGTTTAATTATCGCTAACGAAGCAGATGAGCAGCAGCAGCCGGGGGACGGGGACGAGGAGCCGGGTCCCCACGGGGTCAGCGCGCGGCCCGGACGGTGTCAGCAGGAGACCCCGATGCCACCGTGGCCAACGGGTGCAGCTCTGCCCCGTGTTTGGCCCCAACCGACCCCATCTGCCCCAAAACGTTCCACGTTTGGAACCCTGAAGCCCCACGTGTGCCATCGTCCCCTTGTTGCCCCAACGTTGCCGACCGCACGCCGTCCCCGGTGCCATCGTGGGGCATCTCAGCACCGCCGCCCTTCCGTCCGCGCTCCTATCGGGACCCCGCTGGCCCCATTGGGGCTGAGCCCCCCCGCTTCTGCCCAGCAATTACGGCAGCTTTGTGCCACTGGCACCGCTGGAGAGCAATTAGGGCCGGAGTGACGGCGGAGCAGATTCCCCCTGACAAGCAGGCGGGACGCGGGCTGGGATTCGGTCACCCATGTGTGGGGACGGCAGCGTTTCCCCGCAGAGGCAGGCGGTGGGTGATGCTGAAGTGGGTTTCCCCATCGCCGAGCGGAGCACCGCGTCCCGCTCTTCTCCTTACCCACCGCGCGCCCATCTCCCACAGCGCACCCAACGCGGCTGAAAAAACAACAGCCCCTGGTTGTTCCCTACGAAACTAGAGCGTTTCTGTTTGTGCATAAAAAAAGGAAAAAGAAAAAAACCAAAAAGAAATTCTTGATGGTGGTAATAATAATAAAGGGGTGCGGGGATTTCCCCAGGTCCTGCGGGCCGCACCGGGGCGGCTGCTGGGTGCCCCCAGCCACTGTCCATGCTGCTGCATCGGGGGGGGTCACCTCCCTGCTCCGGTCCTGCCGAGCGCCCCGTCGGGTTGGGAGCAGTGGGGAGCGTTCATCAAATGGGCTGCCAGGTCTTGTCGATGGTCTGAATGTGCTCCTTGGCTTTCATGCGGAGCGAGGCGATGCTGGAGCTCCTCTGGTCGACGTCCTCCAGCGGGTACTTGTCCACAAAGGGGGTGCCGCACTGGTAGGGCGCGGGGGCCATGGGCTGCATGCCCTGAGCCATGGCCGGGGGGGTGTTGAGGAAGGAGTGCCCTCCGTAGGGGGGCTGCAGGGCCTGGGGGGCTCCCATGAAGCCGGGGATGCTGTGCACAGGGGTGGCACTGGAGATGGGCGACGTCAGCCACGGGTCGAGCGGGAGGGAGTTGCTCATGGGCCCCACGTTGGCCGTCATGGGCGGCCGGTTGAAGGACAGCATGGGGGTGTCGTGGAGCTTCATGGAGCTGGCCTCCATCTTCTCCTGCCGCCTCCACTTGGCTCGGCGGTTCTGGAACCAGACCTGTCGGGGTACAGTGAAAGTGACCCAGCGGTGTGTGCCCCGTGGCTACGTTGTCCCTCTCAACGTGCTCCTCAGGGGTGCCCCGTGTGCTGTGCCTCCTGTTGGGTGATCCCTGTGCAATGTCCTATGCAAGATGTCCTACACAAGATGCCCCACGTGCTCTGTTCCACGTAGAGCGCCATTGTAGGGTGTCCCATGTGTTCTATCCCCTGTTGGTTGACCTTCATGCCATGCCCTATGCAAGACGCCCCATGAGCTTTGTCCCATGTAGGGGGTCCCTTGTAGGGCGCCCCACATGTTGTATCCTTTGTAGGGTGACCCCTGTGCCACGTCCTATGCAAGATGCCCTATGCAAGACACCCCATGAGCTTTGTCCCATTAGGGTGTCCCTTGTAGGGCGCCCCACATGTTGTATCCTTTGTAGGATGCCATGTCCTATGTAAGATGTCCCGCGTGCTGTGCCCCATATAAGGTGCTCCATCCGTCGTGCCCCACACGTGGTGGCGACACAGTGACAGTGGGCACGGGCTGGTGGCTGGACTGGCTGATCTTAGTGGTCTGTCCAACCTTAATGATTCTGAGATTCAGCGCCCCGCATAGGGTGACCCGTGTGCCGCGTCCTGTGCAAGATGCCCCATCTGCTGTGTCCATGAAGGCTGTTCTATGTGACACGGCCCACACAGAGTGTCCCCCCTGTGCCGCGTTCTCAGTGGGGTGCCCCACACGCTGTGCCCCGTGCAGGGTGCCCCATGCAGGGCGCCCCGTTGTGCCGTATCCCACGCGGGGTGCCCCATGCAGGGTGCCCCACACGGGGTGCTCCAGGCCCCCTGTGCTGTGTCCCCTCGGGGTGTCCTGAGAATGGTGCCCCACGCGCTGTGTCCCCCGCGGCTCCAGCGATCCCTGTTCTTTTGTCACTCCTGCTCTATTTGGCTTTCTCTCCTTTTGTTGCTCTTTCAGACCCGGTGACTGGAAGGGCTGTCGCTGCCTGTGCTGGCAGCAGGGTCTGCTCCAGGCTGAGCCTCCACGCAGAGCAGAGCTTTGTGCCAAACCACCCCGTGCCCCGGCTCCAGGAAACCTAAAATCCTGAATCCATGAGAATCTCAGGGCTTTCCTGGCCCTGAGGAGCTGACAGTGGTGAGGAGCTGCTGTGGGTTGTCACCCTTCCTACGGAACCAGGGCAAGATGCAGCCCCAAGCACCTACGCTGAGCTCGTGCCTCGGGCGATGGGGAAACGAAGGCGTAGAGCCGCCCCTACCTGCACGCGGACCTCGGGCAGGTTGACCTTCATGGCCAGCTCCTCTCGGCTGTACACGTCGGGGTAGTGGGACTTCTCGAAGGCTCTCTCCAGCTCGTGCAGCTGGTAGGTGGTGAAGGTGGTGCGGTTCCGCCGGTGCTTCTTCTTGGGCTGCTCCTCCTCGGCAGCAGCTGGAGGCGTCTCCTCGCCGTCCCCCGGCTTCCGCAGCTCGCCCAGCTCCCCCTCACACTTATTGAGGAACATCTCGGCACCTGCGAGGGGTGGTGGGGGGTCAGGGGGTGTGGGGACAGCAGATCATCCCACGAATTCCATCCGGATGAGCGGACGGACAGGAGACGGGCCGTCCCTGTGGCACTTCCGTGGGGACTTTATAGGGCCAGCAGCTCTGAATACCACTCAGAGCTGACCTGAGCGGGCCAGATCCATCCCCCCTCCCCACTCCCACACTCCGTCCCTTGAAACTGCAGGACCCCACTCCAACCCCCATGGCAGGGCCAGAGCATGCGGAATGAGCAGTGTGTGTGCAGAGCCCGGTGTGCGGTGCCCACCATGCAATGCCTGCCCTGCAGCACATGCAATGTGTGGGGCACGGTGAGCGCAGTGCACGTGCAGTGTGCGTGGCACAAGGAGTGCAGTGCAGTGCATGCACAACCTGCAGGCACAGCGCTGTCTGCAGTGCTTCTGTGCTCAGGGCACGCAGTGCCTGCAGTGTGCTCCATGTGCGTGCAGCTCTGGGTGGCGCCTCCCAGCCCCGTGGGTTCTGGTGGGGTGTGGGTGCTGCAGCCTCGGGGTGCCGTGCCCTGTTGTCACTGTTGGGGCTGGGGGCTGGGGGAGGGTTGGGGACCCCCTCTGCCATCCCACTCACGCTTACCCGCTTCTCATTTGCGCAGCTCCACACCTGCAAGGAGAGGGGAGAGGGGTGAGCGGTGCGGGACCCCACAGGGTGAGAGGGATGGGGACGAGCGGGGACAGGGAAGGTCGGGGCAGTGGGGTGAGGGCCAGGGCTGTGTATGAGATGGCCCCCACAGCCCCAAACCCATCCAGAAGGAAAGGAGGCCCCAAGAAAACAGGAAGAAGAGAGAAACCACCCTGTGGGATGGGTGCTTGCTGCCCCGCTGCCGCCCTGCTGCCGCCCGCCTCGTCCCCAGCGCCGTCACATCGCATCCCCATGGCACCGCGTCCCCCTGCAGCCCTACCGCCCCGCTGGGCACAGCAGGCACAGCAGGCAGCCCCTCCAGCTGCGGAGGCCATCGGTGTCCCCACACCCCGCGTGCTGGGCTCTGCACTCCGTGTCCTGCAGGAGCTTTTGGGACAGTGGCTGCTGCTCCCTTTGGGGATCGGAGGGCAGCCGGGATGCCCAGTGGGGCGGTTTGGGGACACCCACCGTCCTCCCCCACGTCCTCACAGCTCTGTGCCCACCCCAGCTCCGCTCTGTCCTCCTCCCCTGGCACTTTCTCCCAAATTCCCGTAAAACGGCGTTACCTGCTGGGCCCGACGCGGCTTTTCCAGGAGTATTTAACTTTGCCGGTCCCTCCTGGGAACCAAACAAGCGGCTCAACCTCACCAATCTTGCAGCTTGGCAGCCAAAGTTGCCTCTAGTCTTCTTATTTGTCACAGAACCGCCGCGCTAAGGCTCGGGAGAATCTTTATTTAGTGTTGCAGATGTCACCAAGGCCCCGCAGATTGGAAATGAGTCCAAAGGATTAAGACGAGGTTATTAATTGGAGGCCTTCCCCTTTAAGAATGATTGACAGTTACTTTCTGGACAAGTAATTGCTCTAAATGTCCCCCCAGCGCCGGGCGGGCCGGGGGGGCTGTGGGCGCACAAAGCCCCGCGCTGCCTTCCCCGCTCGGATTGTCTCCCCACAAAGGCGTCCTGCTGGAGTTTTCCTTGTAATCCCCTCATTATGGGAGAGGAAAAAGAATTAGAAACACGGGGCGAGGAGAAGAAAGGCGGGGGGGGGAGGGGGGGGGAGGGAGAGAAACAATTTCCTTCGGCTTTGCCAGCGCCGCGCCGCCGGGAATGGGGCTGTGCTGGGGATGCCATGGGGGCTGCGTCCCCCAGTGGAGGTGGTGGGGTGGCCTCATGGCAGCGTGTGGGGTCCTTTGGGATGCTGGGTGTCACAGCAGGCAGTGGGACCGGCTTGGAGACCATCGATGGGATCAGCTGTGGAAGTCAAACCAGGCATGAGGAGTGGGCATGGGGACCAGCGATGGGATCAGCTGTGGATGTCACACCGAGCATGGGCAGTGGGTATGGGGTCGAGCAATGGGACAGCCTTTGGATGTCACATCAAGCGTGGGGACTAGCAAGGGGTCAGCTGTGGATGTCACTCCAGGCATTGGAACCAGCCTGGGGACCATCAGTGGGATCAGCTGTGGATGCCACGTCAGGCATGGGGACCAGTGATGGCACCATCTTGGGATGTCGCACCGAGAATGGCAAATGAGCGTGGGGTCCAGCTGTAGTAGCAGCTAGGGATGTCACAGCAAGCACGGAAGTCACACCAGGCATGGGAACAAGCTGTAGACATTGCACCACGTGTGGGGAGTGGGCATGGGGTGCAGCAATGGGACCAGCTATGGATGTCATCACACCAGGGATGGGGGCCAGCAGTAGGGACTGGCCAAAGGTGTCACACCTTGTGTGGGGAATGGGCATAGAGAGCAGTCTCGAGTGTGGGGAGCAGCTTGGGGACCATCTGTGGGATCAGCTGTGGATGTCACACCAGGCACGGGGATCAACTCAGGACCAACCATGGGTACCAGCTTTGGGAACCAGCTCTGGAGCCATCTGTGTGTGTCACATCAGCCATGGGTGCAGACAGAGAGGAACAGGTGTGGGGACTAAGAGCAGGGACAAGCGTTGGGCATGGGACAGAGCATGGGGACACACCGTGGGGCCGTCCATGGGGTCTGGCCATGGGCTGCGGGATGTGGATCCACAGTGCAGGCAGCCCCACGCCTGTAGGGCTGTGGGACAGAAACATTGCCCCGCTGGGGGCCCGGAGCGTTGCGATGGTGTCTCCTCCTGTCTGGGTGCCTGTGCTGCCCACCAGGATTCCCCTTTCTGCCTCCCACTCCGTTTTACTTTCCCCCAAAACCCTCTTCCTGTCACCTGCCAACGCAGCAGCCCTTGGCCACTGTTTCGGCTTCCTCCCACCCCCATCCTCTCCATAGCACGGTTCCCCTTTCAGATGCTGAACGTCACCGTGGGGCTTTGATCACCGCCAGGCACTGTACTGACCCACAGAAGTGCCTCTGCCTGAACACAGCGCAGACCCAGAGCCACTGCGTGTCACTGCTGGTGGTGCTGCACTGTGAGCCTTCATCCCCCCGCGCTGCCATAGGGCGGTGGGGACGTTCCCAGTCTGGGATCCCGGATCCCAACGAGATGGATCCCAATTACATGGATCCCAATGAGCACCTTGTGCCTGCGCCGCCGCGATGCAGCAAGAAGACCCCGATCCCCTGCTCCGCTGACTTCCCAACAGCACCATGGGGACACAGAGCGCAGAGCTGCCCCAGGAAGACCCCCAACCCCAGCACCTCTCGCAGACACCAAGAGCTCCAAAGTGGCTCAGAGCGGAGAGATCCCCCCCAAAAGCGCCGTGTGCCCACAGGAACCAGGACCACCCGTGGGTTGGTTTTCGGCGCGGGCGCAGCCGCCCCAGCTGCCCGGATTTGGATTTACCCACCAGGGCCGTGTGTGCGGAGCTGGCCCCGCTAAACCGCCTTAAGGTGTTGGCTCACACGGGCGGGGGAGGCCAGCAGGCTGATTTGACAAATGATTATAATTGCCTTTTAGGAGCAGATAGCAAATTGATTTGCTTCCTCGTCCAAGGCCCGTAATCGCTTCATCACTTTAAAATATTAATGCTATACTTCTTTGCTAGTTTCCCAATTACCCTAATTGAAGGCAAATTGGTTAAGAAGGTGCAATGCAGAGTATCAGGGGGTTTAGTTCACTCAAATGACAGTTTTAAACCTCCCTAATCCTATTAGCGGGCAAAGCTGCTAACGCTTAGAGACGCTGCGTCAGCTTACCGGGGCGGTGGGGCCGGGGCGGGGGTCGGGGCCGGGGGCCGCTGGCCGCACGTGACCAGCTCTGCCGGGGATTTGTCACTTTTTTAGTTCATTAAGAGGCCCGGGGCGGGCGGGCGGGTGGCAAAGGGTGACCCCAAAAGGGTGAGGAGGCACAGGTGGCAACGTGGGGGCGGCGGGGGGGCAGGGCGATTAGCTGGGGAGACCTGGGAGAGGGTCCTGACCCGGATCCCAGCTGGTGCCGGGCGCCCCGTGGGGAGCGTGGGGAGATGGGGACCCGAGGGCCGCCGTCCCGGCACCCAGTCAAGGGGGATGGCGGGGATGTGGGGTGGGACTGGGCTGCCCCACAAAGGGGCCGGGGGCCGTGCAGCCGTGTCCTGTTTGGCTCAGGTTGATTTTGTGTCCGAAGGGGAGAAGTTCTGCAGGAGGGCTGCGCAGCGGGGACAGCAGGGCGCTGGGGGCGGTGGGGCACAGCGCCAGGCCTGGGGGCTTCAGCAGACGCTGCCACAGCAGCACACGGAGGTCAAGGCCCCCACCCCACAACCCTGCTGCTGTGGCTGGGGCAGCTGGGAGCTGCGGTGCAACTCCCAACCCAGCAGCGCTGGGTTCCGCCCCACTGCCACGGGCACACGCCCCACAGGCCCCATACACTCCTCAGGCCCCACAAGCTCCACACATCCCACTGGCCACACAGAACCCACAGGCCTCAAAGGCCCCAAAGGCCCCACAGAACCCACGGGTCACACAAAATCCACGAGCCCCACAGAACCTTCAGGCCCCATAAGCCCCAGAGAACCCACAGGCCTCACAGAACCCACAGCAGCCACAGGCCCTACAGGCCCTGCAGGCCCCACAGGCCCTAGAGAACCCACAGCCCCCACGGGACCCACAGAACCCACAGGCACTGTAAGCCCCACAGGCCCTGCAGGCTCCACAGAACCCACAGTCACTGTATGCCCCACAGGCCCTGTAGACCCTATGTGCCCTGTAGGCCCCACAGACCCTGCAGGCCCCACAGGCCCCACAGGCCCTGCTGGCCCCATACGCCCTGTAGGCCCCACACACCCTACAGGCCCCACAGGCCCCACAGATCCCCCAGGCCCCACAGGCCTTTCAGGAGCAGATGGCCCTGGTGCTGGGAGCCCGGGGGCGGTGAGCGCGGCCCTCCTTTCATGTGAACGCAGCGTGAGTCCGGCCCGGCTCCATCAGGCGGTGGCGTTTGGGGCCCTGGCGGTGCATTTTGCACGGGTTCAGGGAGCTTAGTCCCTGGGGACAGGCGATTCAGGCAGATTAGACCTCCCTAAAATAGGCAGGTATTATGATCTCAGCAGCCTGCAGCCTTCCGGCGGTCGCCCGCGCGGCGGCGTTTAAGCCCACGGTGCTGCTGAGCCTGCAGTGGGAGAGGGGGGGCAGAGGGGACCCCCGGGTGGGGACGCTCCCCCCTGTGGAGCCTGCGGGGTGCAGGCGTGGGTCGGGGCGGTGAGACTGCGGGCGTGGGGCTGTGTGTGGGGTGGGGAAAAGCCTACGGTGCGACCCAGCTCTGGGGGTTGGCACTGCGTGGGATGGGGATGTGCAGGCGGAGCTGCGTGGAATGGAGGCGTCGTGCAGCAGCACAACAGGAAGCTCATCCCACAAAATGACGCTTTTATTGATCCGAACAGCTCAGGAGATTCCAGGGGTGGCGCTGGGGGTGTGGGACTGCTGCCTGGCTGGACTTGGGGTGGCACCAGGGGACGCCGTGGGATGGGATTCGGTGGAAAGGACCCCAGCGTCTCTGCCCAGAGCCCCCAGAAACCCAGGGAACGGTTTAGGCAAGGACAGCTGACCTCCAGCACAGGCATAGGGCCCCAGCCTGGCGTGTTGCACCCACAACACCCACAGCCCACCCGCTCCTGCCCAGCACTACATCAGGGAGCACTTCTCCTTCACTTCATCCACAGTGCCCAGCGCCCGGCCCCGCAGCGCCGCCAGATCCACGTCCTGCAGCTTGGTCAGGAAGGCGAAGGCGCCCTCCTCTTCCTCCTCCTCCTCCTCCTCACCTCGCACCATGGCAGCCAGCTCCGGCGGCAGCTCCACCGCGCCGCCCGCCACGTGCAGCTGGGCATCGTCCCGCTCATCCTGCGGGTGGGAGATGGCGCTGGGGCTGCAATGGACCCTCAGCAGCCTGGGGAGGGAGCGGGAGCGGCGGGCTCCTTTGGGACACCCGTGGATGGGGGGCGTCCCAGCAGCTGCCCAGCCCCACACTGGGACTGCTGGAGAGACGCGTGCGCGGGTGGACGGGAAGGACGGGGACAGCAGCCGTTTGCTGCCCTCTTCAGGAATCGCTTCCCATCCTATGGGACTGGGGAGGGGGAGGATGGCTGCCACCCAGCTCGGGGGCACTGGGGCTCGGGGCTCGGGGTCCCCCTGTGTGTCCGTACCTGGGCCAGGTGATACTTGTCCCGCAGGTGCATGCGCACAGTTGCCCGTTCTGCCTTCTTGTGCGCAAAGGTTTTGTCCCGCTCGATCCTGTGTGATGGGTGACATGTTGTCACCTCTGCCCCACCTGAGTCCCCGCATTGTCCCTCAGCCTGGCGTGGCTGCACCCATCCAAAGATCCAAATGTGCAGTGGTCCACGTGAGGCTGCAACTGGGGGTCCCAGGGCAGGGTCTGTGTCCTGCCCCCTACCCAGTGGTGACACTTGTAGTGGAAGGACTCACTTCTCCCACAGCCTTTCACCTCCCTGACACCACCCCCAAATCACCCACACCTGTGGTGGTACCTGAGTGCAGCCCAGTCCTGTCCCCATCTTCCCTCACATCTGTGGGCTCTGGGATGAGGGTGGCCCTGGGCACCTCCCTCTTCCTTGTCATCTGCAGAATGCTGAGTCCCTGCACCAGCACCCACGGGGACCCCCTGCACCGTGGGGACATCCCACAGCACGGAGACCTCCTGCACCACTGGGACATCTCACTGTCGGAGCATTTCATACCATGGGGACGTCCTGCACCACAGAGACCTCCCTCACCATGGAACCTCCTGCACCACGGGGACGTCCCACACCATGGGGACCTCCTGCACTTTATGGACCTACTTTGCTCCCACCCTCTGCCTCCCTGTCCCTGTCCCACCATGCAGGGGACAAGTGACACCCCGGTCCCGCTGCGTGGGGACCCTGCAGCCCCAACCAAGCCTTACTTCTCCTCCAGCAGCTGCCGCTGGTACTCCTCGAACTCCTCGCGGGACATGCCGTGGGGCAGGGCAGCCGCCTTGCCGTCCTTGGGGGGTGCCTTGGGCTCCTCCTCACCCCCCCGCAGGTTCCTCAGGGCGGCCGTGAAGAAGGCAGCCATGGGTGGGTGGATATTGTGCCCAGCACTGGGTCCGGCGCCTGCAAGGTCAGCGGGACCCGGGATAAGGGCTGGATTATGGCATTAGGAGGGGAAGCCAACACCACTGGGGTGGGAAGACCTTCCTGTGCTGCACCCGAGGGTGCTGTGGACCTGGACTCGGTGGAAATAACCCATTGCCTGGGCCTTGATGCAGGGGCACGGTGGGCATCCAAAGCCGCTTTCCGTGGTGGGGTGAGAGGTGCAGAAAGTGGGCATGGGGGAGATGTGAGAGCAAAAACATCAACCCAGGGTTGAAGGACTGGAAGGGAGACAAGGAATGGGGTGGGTGCACTCACACGCGCACCCCAACTCCTGTTAATCCCTGCTCTGCTGAGATATTGAGATCGCTTGCGAGCCGGTGCCTGGGGCTGCCCCTGCCCTGCTCCCACAATCTGCGTGTGAGCAATTCCCATACAGGCTCTGATTAAAAGAATAATCCCTGGCTCTGTGCACAGCCCTGAGCAGAGTGGGGCTGGGCTGTGCATGGGGGGCTGAGGGGGCCGGGGCTCCCACCCCTCCTCTGTGCTCACCCCAAACAAGGGATAGCCCTAACGTGAGTCTGGAGACTAAAAGACGCTGCCCAACTAATTTCTGTGGTTTAATCAAGAGGCCCAAACCCGCGTGGCTGAGCTGAGTGCGGTTGGTGTGCCCATGCAGGGCAGGCATAGGGCTGTGCCAGCAGTGGGGTGTTGTCTTCCATAGGGGTGGGACATCCCCTGTTGTCCCCACCACTGGGAAAGGAGAAGGGGCTCAGAGGGACCTCGTGCTCCTGGTGCCCCCAGGCATGGCTGGGCCCCACGGGGACGGAGGGATTCATCTGTCCACTGCATCCTCCTGGGAGATGGAGGGTGGACATTGCATCCTCTGTGTGCGTGCAGGGGAGGAGGCACCCTGCAGAGCCACTGCCCCATCTTCACCAGGAGGGAGCAGCCTCCAGGCTGCCCATTTTCACACTGCTCCCCAACTTGGGGGCTCCTCCTGTGGGTCCTGGGGGCTCCTTGGGTGTGGAACGTAGGTTAAACATCCTTCAGGTGCTTCAGCTCTTTCTGCAGCTTCTCTGTGAGCTTCTTGAAGGACGGCCTCTTGCCCGGCTCCATCTCCCAGCAGCTCCTCATCAGTGTGTACACAGCGGGCGGGCAGCCCTCGGGGGGCTCCATGCGGTACCCCTGCTCCAGCTGCTCCGTCACCTCCTTCAGGCTCTGCGGGTGGAGCAGGGAGCTGGGGTCCCCCCTCCGGGGGCAGCAGGGATGTCCCCATCCCCTGCACCTCACCAGGCTGTGAACCCCTGCACTCACCAGCTTGGGGTAGGGTGCTCGACCAAAGGAGAACACCTCCCACAGGAGGATCCCGTAGCTCCACACATCCGATTTGGAGGAGAATTTCTGCCGTGGCGTGGGGAGGGAGCTGCAGCCAGCTGGGGACCCATCGCTCCCGGCTGCACCCTCACCTCCCCACGGCAGAGGGACCCCACACCCATCCCATCCCCTGCAGGAGATGCCCTCGCCCTCCGGATGAGGACAGGGACAAAGCCCAGACGTGGGGAGATGGGGAGTCAGCACGGGGCAGAGATGGGTTGTGGGATGGGGTGGGGGAGCTGCCCCGGGGGCCCTTTGCTCCATCACTCACACTGTGCTTCAGGGCCTCGGGAGCCGTCCACTTCACGGGCAGCAGCGTGGTGTCCGCACCGCGGGGGTTGACCCTGGCCAGGCCAAAATCGCTCACTTTGGCCACGTTGTCCTCGGAGATGAGGATGTTGCGGGCGGCCAGGTCCCTGTGCACCAGCTTCTTGGACTCCAGGTAGTCCATGCCCTGGGCCACGTCCCTGCGGTGGTGGGGCGGCGTCACCGTGTGTCCCCCTGCCCTGGTGTCACCGTGTCTCTGGGAGCTCCCCAGCGATGCGGGCGATGGGAGGAGGACTCACAGAGAGAACTGCAGGAGTTGTGGCAGTGAGACGAGCGCGCGGCCCCGCGTGCGCAGGAAGTTGACCAGGTTGCCCTGAGGGATGAGAGCCGTGGAAGGACCGCTGGGATGGGGCTCCCGGGATCCACCCAACCCAGCCCCAAGCTGTGGGTTTTATCTGAACATGGAGCCGCAATCGGCCCCATCGTCTGAGCCCCGGCCACCCTCACCTTGCTCATGAACTCCATGACGATGTAGAGGCCGTTGTGCAGGATGACGCCCAGCAGACGCACCAGGTTCTTGTGTCGGACCTTCCTGAAGTGAGGGGACGTGGTGAGGGCCAGTACCCCCAACACCATGGGGTGGGGTCTGCCTGTACCCCTGTGCCCCACTCACGTCATGGCGGCGGTCTCGGCGAGGAAGGCCTGGGCGGTCACATCACACTTGACGTTCTTCACGGCCACCTTCTGCCCCATGTACTCGCCCTGCAGGACATCTGGTGGGGGATGCAAGGCATCAGGCGTGGGGACACCGCACCCAGCCCTAGGACAGCAGGGATGGCATCCAGGAAAGTCATCTGGCGATGCCCTCTAGGGACCTCTGGTCCCATCTCACCTCCAAACTCGCCTTGCCCGATGCGTTCTCCCAGCGTGAGGTGCTGCAGGTTGAGCAGCCAGCCGGCTGCACGGCACAGGGATGGGTCAGAAGGCACCAGAACCACTTCCTCCCCCCGAGCTGGCCCTCACCCCTTCCCACCTTTGGCCAACTCCTCCTCGGCTGACTTCATCCCGCTCTTGGCTTTGGGCTTCACCAGCTTGGTGCAGAGGGCTCCTTGCTGCTCCGTGTAGTGCTGCAGGATGGGGCAGGGGGTGAGGAGTGGGGAAATGGCCACAGGTGCTCCGCAGCACCCCAGCACCAAAGCAGCCCTCTAGGTGCACAGAGCCCATCCTCCGCAGTGGGAAATCCCAAACCAGCATCTCCATGTGGGGCACAGTCAGGGCACACCGCAATGGAGCAGCCTGTCCCCGGGGTGAAGGGACAGGAAGGGGGTGGTTTGCAGAGCTTCAGCAGAGGCAGATGAAAGGAGAAAAGGACCATCTGAAAGCAGAAGTTGTGTCTAAACATGGAAACAATCAGGAAGCGTGAACTCTCAGAGGAGAGGCGTGGAGTGGATGTGGGTCAGGGTAGAGGAAGAGCTGGAGGAAGAGCTTTCTGGAAGCAGGAGAGCCAGAGTTATATTTGGCAGCAGGCAGGGCACAGTGGGAGCATCCACTGCTCCCCAAACCAAGCGGGGTCTGGAGAACATCATGGGATGGAGAATGGCAGCAGGTAATAAAACGCACCCACAGCTGTGGTGAAGCCCCAGGGGCCACAGGACGAGGTGGCCGTGATGTCACACCGCACACCGCTGGCCCTTGGGGTCAGGATCACCCCGTATTTCTGCATCACTGCGTGCCAAACTGGAGTGACCCCAAAGTCCTGCGCAAAGCGGGGCTCTCACCTCGATCATGTCGATGAGGTTGCAGAAGTACTGCTCGCTGTCGATGCTCAGCCTGTTCTCCTGGTGCAGCACGCGGTAGTGGATCACCTCCTTGCCAAAGCTCACGCACAGCACGTAGTCACCAGGGTGCCGGACCGACTCACGCACCAGGAACAGCCCGTCCTCGGGGGGCTGCAGCTCCTGCACCGCCTCCACCCCCGAGATCTTCCCGTGGAACCAGCTGGGAAGAGGGGCGTGGGGATGGGGGGTGTGTGGGGCGAAGGGATGAAGAAATGTGGGGTGTGGGGTGAGGGGATGTGGGGACAGGGGCGAGGGGTGAGAATATGTGGACATGGGGGCCGTGGGGTGAGGGAATGTGTGGGTAGGAGTGAGGGGATGTGGGGCTGGGGATCTCTCGCTGCACCAGCATCAAGGCAGTAGAAGCAGAGACCACACAGAGGCCACGCAGACCCCGCAGCAGCCCCTTCCCCAGCAGGGCTGTCCCAGACGGTTGGGCACAACGGAGGTTTTCGTAGCCAACAAATCCCTCGGTGACCCGGGCTCTTGGCTGCTCTGCCTTCAGCAGCCCCTCCAGATTTGGGGGAGGGGAAATGTGTGGGTCAGCCCTGCAGCTGCTGGGACCCCGCAGTACTCACGGCATGAGGCTGAGCTTGTGGTCAGCACGGATGGCCCCGCGCTCCCGCAGCGCCCCGGCCGCCAGCAGCCCCTCCTGCCCGCTCTCGTTGTGCCGCGCGCGGTACCAGTTCCTGCCCTGCAGATGGGACGGTCTCAGAAAGGGGACACAGAAACCAGGAAGGGGGTCCTGGACCCGGTGGCGCTGCCAAACCCACGGTCCCAGAGGTCACCTCCACGGCCTCGATGATGGTGATCACATCTCCCTTGTGGAAGGCCAGCTCGCCGGCCTTGGGCTTGGTGTGGTCGTGCTTGGTGACGCACTGCGTCCCCGCAGGCCAGTGCTTCTGCAGGAAGAAGGCAGCGTCACCGGGATGCTCGGCCCCGAGGTCAGCCCCAGATGGAAGGATTGCGTGGTGACATGGGATGGGGACAACATCCGGATGGGATGGGATGCCCCGCTGTCACATCCCTGTGCTGGTGCAGTGCAGGAGGGGACAGTGAGCCCCGCTCACCCTGGACATGATTGGCCGTCAGCGCATCAGGGACTGCTGTCTGCTCCCGATGTCACCTGCAGAGAAGAAACCAAATGGGGCCACAAAGAAATGAGGCTGAGCCAAAGCTCTGGCCTGGTCCCCCCCCCCCCCCACGGAGCACAGCAGTGCCCCAGAGCCACATGAGGCCGTCACAGCGCCGTGTGGTTTTGGCAGGAACTCGCTTTCTCATCTCCTGCCTGCAGCTCACAGCTGTCGGGGCCATGAGGGCTGGGAGAGGCACGGGGTGACGGGCTGCAATGCCAGCAGTGAGGGGCTGACTGCCCCGCGGGGTCACCGCCAGGCATCTCACATCTGCGGGGTCCCCGTTGTTCCCTGCTGTCGCAGGCGCTGTGCCCGGTCCACGCAGCAGCGACACACAGCACCTTCACCCTGCAAGGAAAGCCGGTCCTGGACGGAGCTCCACGCCTCGGAACGCCGCTGACACTCCTTGCTGTTCCTCTTTCTGCAGGTGAGTCACCGCCACTCCTCTGCGTCACGGCGCTGAGCCCCGTGACAGCGAGCAGATGAGGTCCGGTGCGCCGGGCGTGGGGCAGCGCTGGGCTGTGAATCACAGTCCTGTGGGTGCAGCTCTGACCTGGTCCTAAGGATTATTCCTGGGGGCGCTCAGCCCACCGAGCTCCCACTGCCCTAAAGGCCGTTCCTGGGGAAGTTTAGCCCACCGAGATCCCGCTGTCCTGAAATGTGTTCTTGGGGCGCTCAGCCCATGAAAGTCCACGCACCGAGAGCGTGGTGAGCGGGAAGAAAAGTGAGGAGAACACACAGGCCGGGCTGATGGCACAGAGCCCCGTATTTCACTTTCCCACCACCCCCTGCAGCACGGTGGGCGTGGGTTGCTGGTCAGACTGGTGGCCACAGCGCTTTTCCCAACCTCAGTCATTCTGTGGCACTATGAAGGGTCAGCGGGGACAAGCAGTGGATGTTTGGCACAAACGGGCGACGCCAGGCTGTTCTCCCCACTGAACCCAGTGCCTTCAGCCCACATCCATCTCACCCACATCCATCTCATCCCACATCCATCTCACCCCACATCCATCTCACCCCCATCCATCTCACCCCACATCCATCTCACCCACATCCATCTCGCCCACATCCATCTCGCCCACATCCATCTCGCCCCCATCCATCTCGCCCACATCCATCTCACCCCCATCCATCTCACCCCACATCCATCTCGCCCACATCCATCTCACCCACATCCATCTCACCCACATCCATCTCACCCCACATCCATCTCACCCCACATCCATCTCACCCCACATCCATCTCACCCCACATCCATCTCACCCCACATCCATCTCACCCACATCCATCTCACCCACATCCATCTCACCCACATCCATCTCACCCACATCCATCTCACCCCACATCCATCTCACCCCACATCCATCTCACCCCACATCCATCTCACCCCACATCCATCTCACCCACATCCATCTCACCCACATCCATCTCACCCCACATCCATCTCACCCCACATCCATCTCACCCCACATCCATCTCACCCCACATCCATCTCACCCACATCCATCTCACCCCCATCCATCTCACCCCCATCCATCTCACCCCACATCCATCTCACCCCACATCCATCTCGCCCACATCCATCTCGCCCACATCCATCTCACCCCACATCCATCTCACCCACATCCATCTCACCCCCATCCATCTCACCCCACATCCATCTCACCCCCATCCATCTCACCCCACATCCATCTCACCCCACATCCATCTCGCCCACATCCATCTCGCCCACATCCATCTCACCCCACATCCATCTCACCCACATCCATCTCACCCCACATCCATCTCACCCCACATCCATCTCACCCCCATCCATCTCACCCCACATCCATCTCACCCCACATCCATCTCGCCCACATCCATCTCGCCCACATCCATCTCCCCCACATCCATCTCACCCACATCCATCTCACCCCACATCCATCTCACCCACATCCATCTCACCCCCATCCATCTCACCCACATCCATCTCACCCCACATCCATCTCACCCCCATCCATCTCACCCCCATCCATCTCACCCCCATCCATCTCGCCCCACATCCATCTCGCCCCACATCCATCTCACCCCCATCCATCTCACCCCCATCCATCTCACCCACATCCATCTCACCCCCATCCATCTCACCCACATCCATCTCACCCACATCCATCTCACCCCACATCCATCTCACCCCACATCCATCTCACCCCCATCCATCTCACCCACATCCATCTCGCCCCACATCCATCTCACCCCCATCCATCTCACCCCCATCCATCTCACCCACATCCATCTCACCCACATCCATCTCACCCCACATCCATCTCACCCCACATCCATCTCACCCCACATCCATCTCACCCACATCCATCTCACCCCACATCCATCTCGCCCCACATCCATCTCGCCCCACATCCATCTCACCCACATCCATCCCACCCACATCCATCTCACCCCACATCCATCTCGCCCCACATCCATCTCACCCCACATCCATCTCACCCACATCCATCTCACCCCACATCCATCTCGCCCCACATCCATCTCACCCCACATCCATCTCACCCACATCCATCTCACCCCACATCCATCTCACCCCACATCCATCTCGCCCCACATCCATCTCACCCCACATCCATCTCACCCCACATCCATCTCACCCACATCCATCCCACCCACATCCATCTCACCCACATCCATCCCACCCCACATCCATCTCACCCCACATCCATCCCACCCACATCCATCTCACCCACATCCATCTCACCCCACATCCATCTCACCCCACATCCATCTCGCCCCACATCCATCTCACCCCACATCCATCTCACCCCACATCCATCTCACCCACATCCATCCCACCCACATCCATCCCACCCACATCCATCTCACCCCACATCCATCTCACCCCACATCCATCCCACCCACATCCATCTCACCCACATCCATCCCACCCACATCCATCTCGCCCCACATCCATCCCGGCCCTCTCACTTACCCCCAGCTGCGTCCATTCGGGGCTGTGATGCTTTGGGGCTGTGAAGCTGTGGGGCCGCTCAACCACACTCCAACCACTGAACTCCTGGGCAAGCGACTCCTCCCGCAGGGTGCAGCGCTGTGTTGTTTCCAAAGGGCACAGACAGAGCCACGGCGTTATTTCCTCATTTCTCTTCTGGTTACGGAGATGCCACGTCCCAGAGGTCCTAGTGCCCGCCCGCCATCAATCATTAATCAGAGCTGGCTTCTTAGTTAACGACACTCAAGCGACTTTTGCCCTTTAACAGCACAGGGTTGCCCCGTCCAGGAGCCTGGCAGAGCTGCTATCGCTGCCCTCCAGACACAGTGGGGAGGAAGCAGCTCCTCCATGGTTGGTCGGTGCTGAAAGGAAAAGTGAAAGCGGAGACCACAGGAACACACTTTGATGCTTCAAATTTTCATAGGGAAATGGGAAAGAAAGAGAGAAAGAGAGGGAAGGGGAAGGGGAGGGGTTAGAAATGCATGGAAAAGGAACAACCCCAAAACAACTCAACCCCAACCCCAACACAGCCCCAAAACAACTCAACTCCAACCCCAACACAGCCCCAAAACAACTCAACTCCAACACAACCCCAAAACAACTCAACCCCAACACAGCCCCAAAACAACTCCAACCCCAACACAGCCCCAAAACAACTCAACCCCAACACAGCCCCAAAACAACTCAACCCCAACACAGCCCCAAAACAACTCAACCCCAACACAGCCCCAAAACAACTCAACCCCAACACAGCCCCAAAACAACTCAACTCCAACACAGCCCCAAAACAACTCAACTCCAACACAGCCCCAAAACAACTCAACCCCAACACAGCCCCAAAACAACTCAACCCCAACACAGCCCCAAAACAACTCAACTCCAACACAGCCCCCAAACAACTCAACTCCATCCCCAACCCAATCCTAACTCTTAACCCAACCACAAACCCGCCCTCATCCCAGCCTCCACCCCAAACCCCACTGCCTCCAACCCAACCCCATCCCCGCCTCTCACTCAATCCAGGCTCCACCCCAACCCTCACTGCAATACAAACTCAAACCCCAAACTCAACCCCATCCCCAACTCTGATCCCAATCCCAATCCCAATCCAACCCCCACCTCAACCCTAACTCTAATCCCAATCCCAACCCCATTTCGAGCCCCAACCACAACCCCATCCCCAAACCCGACCCAACCCCAACCTCAACCCCATCCTCAGCTCTAAAATAACCCCAATCCCAACCCCAACCCCGACTCTAATCCTCATCCCAATCCCAATCCCAATCCCAACCCATCCCCTACTGGGAACTGGGGGAACGGGAGGGAATGGGAGGATTGGACTGGGAAATTATGGGGAACTGGGGGGAATAGGGGGGAATTACGGGGATTTGGGGGATTGAGGGAATTGTGGGGATTGGGGAAGTAGGGGGGAATTAGTGGGAATTGGGGGTACTTGATGGTAATCATGGGGGTAACAGGAGAATAAGGAATGATTAGTAGGAATTGGGGGTAATTAGCGGGAATTGGTGGTAATTAATGGGATTTCGCGGGGTAGTTAGTGTGAATAGGAGGTAATTGGGTGTAATTGTTGGGAATTGGGGATCAATTAGTGGGATTTTGTGGGAGTTGGGGATAATTAGCAGGAATCAGGTGATTAAGGTGAATTAGGGGTAAGTAGTTGGAATTGGGTAATTAGTGGTAATTGAGGGTATTTAAGGATAATTATGGGGAATTAGTGGGAATTGAGGGTGTAATTAGTGGGAATCGGTGATAACTGGAGATAATTGGTGAGAATAAGTGGGAATGGTGGTGGTAATTAGTGAGGAGTATAGGTAATTTGGGGATAATAAGTAAGAATTGAGAGATAATTAGTGAGAATTAGTGCTAATTAGGGGGTTAAAAATGGGGGAATTAAGAGATTTAGTGGGAAATGGGGGTAATTAGTGGGGATCAATGACAACTGGGGGTGATTAGGAGTAATTAGAGGCAATTAATTGGTAACTATGCGTAACTAATGGTAATTGATGTGTAATTAGTGGTAATGGGGTAATAGTGGGTAATCCTAGCATAATTATGGGGCAATTAGGGTTAAATGGTGGGAAGTAATGGGTAATTAGTAGTAATTGTGGGTAATTGGTCAGGGCAGTATTGGGAATTAGTGAAACTTTGGGTAACGATTGGTAATTAGCGTCATTCTGTGGTAAATAATAGCGAATCAGTGATAATTAATGAGCAATTAGTTGATGAGGTTGGGATGAAGGAGAGGATTTGGGGATTTCAGGAGTCACCGATTTTCCCATTTCTGGCCCCATTTCCAGGTGCTGACGGCCGCTGATTTCTGGGATTTGGGGGATTGAGGGAATGATGGGGATTGGGCACACGGGGCTGCATGGGGCTGCAGTGGGGCTGGGACTGGGGAGTGAGGAGCTTCTGCCCCACGCTTGTGGGTCTCAGCACCCATTTATCTGTTCACCCCACACTTACGGGTCCCAACTCCCACCTGTGGGTCCCACCCCACACAGAAGGATCAGCCCTGCACTTATGGGTCCCACTCCACTCGCGACTCATCCCCACACTGACTGTTGGGTCTCAGCCCTATATCTCCCAACTGCCCCGCACCCTGCCCCCAACCCAGCCCCACGCTGTGCCCCCAGCACTGCTCTCGTGCCACCTGTGTGGGCTCCTATGGGGCCGAGAGCAGCTGCTTCTGGGGCCTGCAACAGGCATGAGGCAGACATGGGGTGCATTATGGGGCCCGTGGGGTGGTTATAGGGTCTGAAGTGCAGTTATGGGGTGGCTAGGGGGTTTATGGGGTGGTTGTGGGATCGATGAGGTAGTCATAGGGACTATGTATTATGGGGTCCATGGGGTCTATAGGGCAGTTATGGGGTGGCAAGGGGGTCTATGGGGTAGTTATGGGGTCTATGGGGGAGTCATAGGTACCATAGGGCCTATAAGGCAGTTATGGGGTGGCTATGGGGTACTCATAGGGTGGGTAGGTGGTCTATGGGACAGTTATGGGGTCTATTGGACGGCATTGACCCCAGTCCCACCCCTTGACCCCTTTCTGACCCCACCACCTTTCTGGACACGCCCCCCGTTGAGGCCCCGCCCCTTTGAGGCCCCGCCCTCGTCCCATGATGCCGCGGGGGTTGGGGCCTGCGGGCAGTGGAGGAAAGGGGCGTGGCCTGAGGAGCACTGGGGGCGGAGCTCTGTGGAAGGTGCTGCCAGGGGGCGGGGCCACGCACCCGCTGCCTCCGCCTCCCAGGCTGCGATTGGTGCGCTGCACCTGAGGGGGCGGGGCCTCGAGGGCTGGGGGTGTGGTTTAAAGGGGTGGGGCTTAATAGGGGGCTTAATGGGATTGGGATTGGAATATGGGGGATATGGGGCACATGGGGAAGGTTGGCGGGGATCTATGGGTTACTATGGGGCAAGGTTTGTGAGAGAATACGTGGTGGGATATGGGGTGTCAATGGGGCAGGCTGTAGGGCGGGCTATGAGGGGTACATGGGCCAAAGTGTGGGGGCGATAAGGTGGGGTAGGGGTGTTTAATGGGGCAGGATATGAAGTAGGTATGGAGGGTCTGTGGGGCAGGAGATGGGGCAGGGTGTGGGGAGTTGTGGGGAGCTATGGGGGTATATAAAGGGTCTATGGGGCAGGATATACAGTGGGCTTATGGGAAACTTGGGGGCGTCTATGGGGCAAGGTGGGAGGGTATGGAGCAGATTATGTGGTGGTTATGGGGGTTCTGTGGAGATGGCTGAGGGGTGGGATGTGGGTCACGTGGGCCTATGGGGTGGGTATATAGGGCAGGCTATGGGAGTGGATGGGGGGCATATATGGGACAGGATATGGGGCCTATATGGGGCAGAATACATGGTGGGCTACAGGGAGGTCCTATGTGGTAGGGAATGGGAGCATATAGAGCAGCGTGTGTTGTCATACAGGGGATCTATGGGGCGGCTGTGGGGCAGGGTTTGGGTCTGGTGCCTGTGGCTCTGATCTCACAGTTCTTCTGCTCATCACAGCTGTGCACCAATGTGGTTTTTAGTTACCCTGCTGAGCTAAGGAAAAATCAGATTGCACGTTGTTTGTGAATGGAAAATAACATCCCGTAACGTAGCGATGCTCTGACGTTACTTTGGGGGATTTTTGGCCCAAACTTGACTCAGCTCCTCCCATCGGGTCACTGCAGGAGGACCTGGAACACAGCACGGCTCCCACTGCAGGCCACCGCTGAGCCAGGGGGCGTTCAGCTCTTTGCTGAGCACACGCGGCGTTACTGCACTGCTGTGCTGCCCATGCGGAGCAGCGGGAGGCGCCGGCCCTGCTGTCCCGTGGGATCTGCTGCACACTGCTGCCTGCATTTCTGCTCCGACAGGATCAGTTCCGGAGGGCAGTGATGGGCTCAGCCCCTCCTCCTCACCCGCAGGCAGCAATGGGCACAGTCCCTCTTCTCCTTGCCAGCAAGCAGCAATGGGCCCTGGGTTCTCCTCGCCTACAGTAGTGATGAGCGCTGGGCTCCAGACCCTCCTGCTCCTCAACCACAGTCAGCGATGGACACAGCCCCTCTCCTGTTTGCCTATGAGCAGCAGTGGGCTCCAGCCCTCTTCCTCTTTGCCAGCAAGCAGCGATAGGCCCCAGGCCCCTTTCCTCCCCAACCGAGGGCAGTGATGCAGCTTGGGGTCCTTCTCCTCCTCGCGCACTGGCAGTAATGGCCTCTAGGCTCCAGATCGTTTCCTCTACAACAGAGGGCAGTGATGGGTTCTGGAGCCCAGACCCTTTTCCTTTCCCTCCCAAGAGTAGCGCTGGGCTCTGGGCTCGAGGTCCTCCTCGTTGCCCCATTTCTCCCCGCCCGGAGGCTGCGCTGAGCTCCGCTCCTTCTTTGCGCCCGCAGGCAGCGCGAAGCTCCGGGCTGGAGCTCCGTCCCGCAGCACGGCCGCGCTCCCGCCGTCCTCCCCGCAGCGCCGCAGCCCGGCCATTTCCGGTGCCGCCCCGCACACCCGCGCTCCGTCCGGCTCCCGCCGCCGTTCCCCGCGCCCTCCCGCCCCGCGCGGAGCCCCGCGGTTCCTCCCGCTCTTCCCGGGGGCGCCCACCCCGGCGCGGCGCCCCTCCCCCCGCGGTTCGCGGCCGCCGCGAGACGGACGGCCAGGCGGACCAATGAGACGCGGGACACGTGCGCGCGGCGTCCAATGGCGTTCGGCGGGCGGGGGCGGGGGGGCGTGACCGGCGGCGCTGCGAGCGGCTTGTTGTGCGCTGCGGAGCCGTTCGCCTCCCGCTGCACGGCCGCGCCGAACCGCAGCGAGGTGAGAACGGGCCGCGCCGGGCCGGGGAGGGGCGGCGCCCGCGGAGCTCCCGGCGCTCCAGGGCGGGGCGGAACGCGGCGGAACGGGGGCGGCGGGGATCGGGGCGGCGAGGCCTAGTCTCGGGCCTGCGGGGGAGAGCCGGGCCTGAGGGGGGAGGGGCCCGGGGCGGGCGGGGCGGCGGATGGGGCGGGGGGGCGGGGAGGGGAGGGGCGAGAATGAGCGGCAATGGGCGGCAGTGAGCGGTAATGGGCGGCAGTGAGTGGCTGTGCGGGGCGGCGGGGCGCAGCGGACGGCGCCGCTCGGCTCGGTTCGGTTCTGCTCGGCTCGGCTCGGTGCCGCTCGGCTCGGCTCGGCTCGGCTCGGCTCGGTGCCGCTCGGTTCGGCTCGGCTCGGTGCCGCTCGGTTCGGCTCGGCTCGGCGCCGCTCGGTCCGCCTCGGCTCGGCGCCGCTCGGTCCGCCTCGGCTCGGCGCCGCTCGGTCCGGCTCGGCTCGGCGCTGTCCGGCTCGGCTCGGCGCTGGGATCCGTCCCGTTAGCCTTACCCGATGTGAGCGCGGAGCCGGCAGAGCTGCGGGGTTTCCCGTCCTGCCGCGCAGCGCTGAGGCCGTGTGCGATGTGCGGCTCCGTGCCGCCTGTCCGCTGCCCGCCGTAACCCGCCGGGCTGCCCAGCACCGCCCTGTGGAGGTGATGCACGCGCTGTGCAGCTGAGCATCATAGGCTGAAAAGGACCGTCACGGTCATCTGGTTCCAACCCGTGCTGTGTGCACGATTTAAGCTGCTCCTGGTGCGTTTTTACAGCAGAGGAGATGGAGATGAGCAGGTGCTCATGGCTGTGTGCTCCTTTGCTGTTCTGGTTTCCTTCCCATCACTGGCAGTGGTTTCTCTTTTGGCCTCAAGCCCTTCTTGCTTTGCAGCAAGATAAGCACAGGAACCAACAACAGGGAATAGGAGAGCAAGGAGAGAAGCTGCAAAGCCAGGAGCCAAGCAAGATATTCCTCACTTCTGCATCCCAATCCCAAGCCCTTCTTGCTTCTTGCCACCAAAAGCACTGGGAGCAGCACTGGCTGTATGGCGGTGGGCGAGGATCCCTGAGAGGAGCTTAGAAGGGTTCTGGGATAAATGTGATCATTGTGGAAATGCCCCTTGGAGGCATGGAGAAGTAAAGAATGTGGAGATGTGTGATGGGTTTTCACAGTAGCTGGTGGTGGTGATGGAGGGAGGCCTTTTTGACATTAGAACTGAGAGGAAATGTTGGCATCTTCAATACAACTGAGCCAAAGCGGCGGGGAAGGGAAATGTGTTCATTCCAGGGTTGCAAAGGGGAGAAAGAAATCAATAGAAGCCCATTAATGCTGAAAATCCGTCAGGACAGGCAAGCAGGCACGATGCATTCCATGGATGGATGAGCAAAAGGGGCTTCAACACATGTGGGTTCAGCAGCTTGTGTGGCCTGACAGTGGGCAAGGATCCTCCTGGTGGTTAAATGCAGTTTTAATGGAGACCCCACGTGGGCACATTTCAGCAGCTGCCTTGCTGGGGTTTATTTCTCCATCCAGAAGAAGCAGATCCCAGATGCCATATGGGTGCCCTGTGCCACCAAGCCGGGCTGTGGGGGGGCTTTGTGTGCAGGGTGCCAGGAGGGTCCTGGGGGGAGATGTGTGGTGTCTGCAGAGGGATCCGGATCAGGAGGTGGGACAGCAGCATTCTGGCTGCAGAGCGTTGGGAGATTCATCTCTTCTCTTCCTCTTGGAAGCACGTAGGCCTGGTGCTGTTGATCTGCATCCTCACTGTGATCTCCGTGGGGATTTGTTGTCCCACCCCTGTGCCTGGATTGAACTCTTGCTTCTCAGTGCCATCTCTTGGCTGCAAAGGAAGCTCTGTTTTATCAAGGCTGTGTTGGAATGTTGTTGGAAGTGACTTTCCTGGTGGGTGGGGGCTGATGGGAGCTCACTGTGCTCTGCTTTGCCTATCGGTGTGTTGCCGTGTGCTCAGTGCTGGGCTTCTCAGCCCCTCTGCACCCATCCCTTGTGTCTGTGGGGCTCTGCTTGGCACTGCCCTTGGCGTAGCAGTGTCCTTCTGGCTCTGTTTCAGGTGTGGTCTCCAAGGAAGCCTGCCCTGCAGCCTCATCACTGAGCAATGGATGCTCAATGACCAGACCAGGCAGCAGGTTGTTGTTTGCCTCTGAGCCTTGTGGGAGGGGAGGCATGCCAATAAGCATCGTCTTTCTGCTGCAGATGGAGGAGCAGGGCTCTTTGTATGGCCCTGGAGTTCTCCTTGAGGTCAGCCAGTGCCTTCAGGGCCCAACCCTTGAGACCAGAGTTGGCCCAAGCAGAGCCCCACCAGCACTGCGTGGCTCAGTGCAGCCCCTGCTCACTCACCAGTGCTGTTTTGGGCCAAGTGTCAGCTGTTGGTGTAGGCTGTGATAGCAGAGATCATGGAGCCGTTCACAGAGCTCTGATCTTCTTGTGCTCAGCACCGCTGGCTCCAGGGCTGGAGAGCAAAGTGCTGGTGCGACAGCACAGAGCTCGCTGCTCGTGGAAGAGAACCTTCTTAGGTTCTGCAGCAGCTGACATGTTATCGTCTATCATCTGTTTTGGTGTCTGCATTCAAATCTGTGAGCCCAACAGTGGTCTTGTGCCTTTGTGGGCCTGTAGGTGAAGGGAGGATGTAGCAAACCTCTGAGCTGTTTGTGTCAGGAGCAGGAATCCTCCCTGAGAGCGTTCCTGTGTCAGCCTGGTTCGTAGGTTTGCTTTCTTAGCAAACTGAATCAGCAGTGCCCTGGGCTGTGTGTGTATCTCAGGGAGTGGAGGTGAGCGTTGCAGGCAGTGCAGTGAGAGGCTGTGACTTCAAGCTGATTCCACTTCCAAAGTGCTGTTGCTTCTCAGACCATACACGGGTCTGGGAGTTCCGTGCTTGGCAAAGTTGCCTTTCACCAACTTAGAAACTGTCTCAGCCACGTGGCCCAGAGGCTGCAGTGAGGTGAGCAAGGAAGGTTCAGGTGTTCTGGTGTCCTGGAGCAGAGCAGGAGCCCAGATGGTGAGCCTGTGCCTGCACGGCTCTGGCACAGCTGGAAGGGGACCTGTGCTTGCTGTACAGCTTTGCAGTACAGCTGAGACAGTCTGACGGCTTGGGATGCAGAAGTGAGGAATATCTTGCTTGGCTCCTGGCTTTGCAGCTTCTCTCCTTGCTCTCCTATTCCCTGTTGTTGGTTCCTGTGCTTATCTTGCTGCAAAGAAAGCAGCTTAGAGCTGCTGATACAGCATAACTGCTTCCCTCCTGCCACGATTTCCCACTGCCTCCGTGGAGCAGATGCCTGACCTGGGGGCAGGGGGGAATTTGCTGCTGTTGGCACTTGAGATGTAGAAATGTGGGGCTCAGAGGCTTCTCAGTGCAGAGTAGCAAGACCCCCTCCATGGTTTGCTTCATTCCATCCTCACCAAACAAAGGATTTGGTCTCAGTGTACGGCTGTGGGTCTGGTGGTGGTTTGTTCCCACACTGTGTGCTCAGTGATTTGTTGTTTTTCCCATTAAGAACGCTGACTTTCCCAAGAAGTGTGAAGCAAACACTCATTGCTACTCAGCAGATGCTGGAGAATGGACTGAAAGCCTCTCTTCCATGGCAGTGTTCCCTCTGTGGATATGGGCTTCCTGACTTTAACCCTGCTGCTGTGATGGTTGGGTTTATAGCGACGTGCATGAAGAGCTGCTGCCATTCCTTTGCCCTGAAGGAAAGGAGCCGTGGGAGCCGTGCAGTGTGCCACGTGGTCCCTGAAATGCTGTTTGAAGGAATGAATTCTTCTGGGAATGGCAACAAAAATAGTTTTGTTTTACAAGTGGGGAAAAATGTGCATAGTTGGAACAATTGCTTTTTGTCTGAAATAAACAGCCCGGCTGATGGCAGGTGGAGGAAGCCTGGCTCACACCGAGCTCTACAACTTATTTATTTGGGGTTTTTCTCTTTGCAGATACGTTATAAGATGTCTAATGGTTATGAAGATCACATGGCTGAAGATTGCAGAGATGACATCGGCAGAACAAATCTCATTGTGAACTACCTCCCCCAGAACATGACGCAGGATGAGCTGCGGAGCCTCTTCAGCAGTATCGGCGAAGTTGAATCTGCAAAGCTGATTCGGGACAAAGTTGCAGGTATGATAGAAGAACGATGAAACCTCATGTGGTGGAGCCCTCCACCAAGTGCCTGGGAGCAGTTCAGTGTGGAGTGTCTTCGTGTTGCTGTGTGTGTGTGATCCAAGTGCTGCTGTGCATCCGTGACGATGCACAGTGCTTGGTCCTGCAGGATGCTTGAGGCCAAATCCAAAATCTTTCTGTGCAGTTGTGATTCCTAACCTTGAGCACCAGGATGCATACGTACTTCAAGCAGTCTGAATTTGATCCCTGGCAAACCTGGTTTTTCTGCAGTCAGAGCTTTTATGGCACTGATTTCCTTGCCTGTCAGGAAATGAAGCTCAGAAAGCAAATGGGATCCTGGGCTCCATCAGCAGAGGGGTGGCAGCAGGGACAGGGAGGCGATCGTCCCCCTCTGCTCTGCTCTTGTGAGGCCCCATCTGCAGCACTGCGTCCAGGGCTGGAGCCACAGCACAAGAAAGACAGGGAGCTGTTGGAGAGGGTCTGGAGGAGCCACAGAGATGAGCAGGGGCTGCAGCACCTCCCTACAGAGACAGGCTGAGGGAGCTGGGCTTGTTCAGCATGGAGAAAAGAAGGCTGGGGGTGACCTCAGTGCAGCCTGCAGTGCCTCAAGGGAGCCTGCAAACAGGAGGGGAATCAACTCTGTGCAAGGGGAGATGGCAGCAGGACGAGGGGAAATGGTTTGAATTGAGGGAGGGCAGATGGAGGTTGGATGTCAGGGGAAGTTCTGTGCTGTGAGAGCGGGGAGGGGCTGAACAGCTGCCCAGAGAGGCTGTGATGCCCCGTCCATCCCTGGAGGTGTTCAAGGCCGGGTTGGATGGGGCCCTGGGCAGCCTGCGCTGCTGTGAAATGGGGAGGTTGGTGGCCCTACATGTGGTGGATTCACGACCCTTGGGGTCCCTTCCAACCCCGGCCGTTCTGTGATGAACTTGGGATATAGGTGATCATTGTGTGAGTATCAGTAAAAAGACACGTGCTGTGTGTCTGAAGCAGTGTTGTGGGCTTGCTGTTCCTCAGGCATTTCACTTGGAAGCCCTTGAAGTGGGATTGTTGGTCACTGCTTTAAAAACTGCAGGGGGAATGGAGTGAAACATAACCGTAGATGGGAGCAGGCAGAGCTGGGTCTGTGAGCTCTGTGTGGTTGCAGCAGCTTTTTGCACGTGCTGTCCGTGCTTTAACCCTGCACTGTTTGGCTGTGTGTACAAATTGTGGTGATTCCTGTTCAGAACCCACAGAACCTGTGGTGCAGTGGGAGGCAGGCAGTTACTGCAGTGCATGGTGTTGGTGCTGCTCGTGGTGTGCAGGCGGCTGCGCTGTGGGGTTTTCTGCTCCATGCCCTGCAGAATGTGATGCTGATTTAAATCCTCATCTGATCCATATCAAACAGTCCTTAACTATTTCACCACATGAAAACCACAGGAAGGTGGGTGAAATGCACGAGAGTTCTTGCATTGCCCCTACTGATTTTGTTACGCTCTTGAGAGTAGAAATGAGAACTGGCTAACAAGAGATGTGAAATGTATTTTCTCAGTGGCTTTGTACGTGTGCTCATCTGAAAGCAGTGCCAGGCTCTGGCTTTGCCTGGTGGTGCTTGATCAAAATACAAACTTAGGGACAGCGTGAGTAAATTCCTCATGAAAGTCATGGCATGAAATGCACTTTTCTTAGAACACGTGGGTAGCTGAGCTTTCAGCCTAGCTGTTGTGCAGTTTGAGATGCTGAGAAGTGCAGGCTTGCTTTGGAGGCTGTTTTGCAAGGAAACAAGGCTGCTCAGGGGAACATGATGAAGCCTTTTGTTGTGTGTGAGCTGCCCTACATCTCGTGGTGCTGAGCAAGGCCAGGTCTGTGTGCTGCAGATGAGGAGGAGGGGTTGGGGGGTCTTGCAGTAGATTGCTGCTTTCCTGCGCTTGGCTGACCCTGCAGGGCTGTGATGGAGGAGCAGAAGCACAGAACAAAGCCTGTGGCCCTGTGGCTGGGCAGTGGGCAGGTCGTGGTGCTGGCATGGGAGGCAGTGGGGGAGGCAGCCTCGTGTTCTGTGGGAACCAGACTTTTCAGTGTGGCTGCCTCTGTTGGCTGCATTTATTCAGTTAGCAGCGGTGTTTGGGCTCGATGCTTGTTCACAGGACAGTGGCTGATCTGTGTTTTTTCCTCAATCTATTAACGGAGCTCGCGGGGCAGAAAGTCCCTTCTGCCTGACTGAGTGCAGTTGTTAATGATTTAGTGAACTCACCTCAGCCTCCTGCAGAGCCATTGCAGATCGATGACTGCTGCTGGAAGCGTGGCTTTGTTGGTCAAGCTGGGATAACTTCATTTCATTTCTGCAATGACCATAAAGAGAAGCACCCTTCCAGCTCCAGTGATGGCAGAAGCTGTCAGTGTCTGCATTCTCCTGTTCGTCCCCACATTCCGGAGTGATTCCAGACGTGACTTTGCTTCGGCTGTGAGGAGTGCATCAGTGCTCAGCATCTGTGCTCTTGCAGCCAAACCTGGCACTGCAGCTCTCTGTGCTTCCATTTGTGATGGGCATCACCTCCAGGGTTTTCGCACAGCAGGACTCACAGGGCATTGCTCTTTCTGTCAGAACTTGAAGGCCGGCACCGACTCGGAGCCCCAGGGAAACGTTAGAAGGTCACTGCCCAATATAGTGTGGCACAGGGTCACGTCTGAGGTGGTACTTTTTGCTGCTGTGTCTTTTTTAGTTATTGCTGAGGCCTGCAAGGCGCCATTGACCCAGTTCAACTGAGAGCTCTGTGAGGCTGCGAGCAACGATGAGCCCAGTGGTTTGTCTGGTCTTTCTGTGCTGATGAGGCTGTGGCTTTCTGAGGCTGGCTTCAGACGTCCTGGTCCCAAAGCTGTGCTCTGTGCTGGTCCCTACCCAGCAATGTGTGGGCTGTTACCTGCTGCCGTGGGTGGCTCTACAGAGGAAATGCATCCTGTCCTGTCTTTTGCATCAAGGCTGCTTGGATGATGTGCTGAGGCATCCTGTGTTTCCAGTCTGCTGTGCTCTTACAGGTGAACGCGGAGCTGTTTTCCTTTGTTCTGCAGCTGGACCAAATATTGGAGCTAAAAATTAACTTCCTGCGAGCGTATGTTTTTGTTTCAGTCTTCCTTCCCCTTGCAGGATTGCTGACACTTGCATACCTGACAGCCCTAGAGCTTTGGAACAGTTGGGTTAAACTTTTCCCACAGCCTCAGCTCCCCGTGGGAGCCGTGCTGTGCTCGATGGCAGTACCTGGTGTGTGCTGCTCCAGCAGTGCTCTGATAAATGTTGGTGTGGCTGCAGGAGGGAGACATCGCCTTCCTCACTCCGTTCCTGGAGTCTTACGCCGCTTGAGGAGAGAATAATGCATCTACACTTGGAACGAAGGATATGATCCATCAGAGTGCACCAGTCTCTGCCTGAACCCATCAGCTACTGCAGTCTGGCCATGCCTGTGCATGCAATGGGAGGTGATGGCAGAATTCCCTGCAGGTTCTGCACGTTGGAGTGTTGGAGCTCACAGCCACGCACGTGGATCAGCAGCTCCGGGTCAAAGCTCTCCCTCTGTCCTTGCTGGAAAGGCATGGAGCAGAGCGGGCATTCCCAGGTGACTTTTGACCACTGCTTACAGGATCAGCTCTAGGTGAATTACAGGAGCCAGCACACATGCTCCTTGTCATTACATCTTCTCTGGAAGACCCTCTCATAGAAGTGGTGCAACCCAAACCAGAAGCAGGCACCTCTGAACACACAGAGGAAGGAACCGCTGTCGCTCCTGTGATGGGATGACTGCTCGTGCTGCTGTCACTTGCTGTTCCTTTCCAGTCCACTAACAGAATTCTGAAATATTCTTGTCTCCTGGAAAGCATTCAAGTATTCTGTTTGCCTGAAATTGTTCCCTTCTGCATGGGAAACAACCACAGCGTTGTGCAGTTCTTATCTGTGATGGGAATGCTCTGTTACCCCGGGTTTTTTAAGACAATCTTTAATTATCTTAGCACTGTGTGCTTGAAGACACTGATTGCTCCCCATCATACAGAGGCACATGAAGCCAGAAAGGCCCGTGCTGTTGAGCTGCTCATTGTATGAAGTGCTCTGCTTTACTAAAGCAGGTGTCTTCCTTTGCCCTTCTTCTTTTCCCTCACCAACCATGATGTGAAACCTTTAATTGTGCTCTCGTGTTTCTTAGCATGTTTATATTTGGAGTTATTGCCCTGCATCGTTTTGGAGCACTTTAATTCTCTTCCAGTGAAAAAGTGCTTTCCATTCCAACAACTGATGAACAAAATCTGTCCTAAAGCTTAAGAAACTCAGGTTTTACGGTAGGTTTTCAGGGCTTGGAGCTGTTGTTCTTTCTGCAGATGGTCAAAGCTTCCAGCGCTGTGGTGATGGTGGTGTTCCTGGAGCTCTCCCTTGCACCCAGGGTGAAATCCCAGCTCGTGCTCAGTTGGCTCTGTGCTTCGTGGTGGTTTTTTGTGGAGCGTGTGTTTGAATGCTGAAATCAAGATGAGCCACGGCTGCTGCTCTGCCCATATTCACAAACCCAGTCCTGCTGTCAGAAGCTTGCTGGCTGTGGGTATCCCATGCTGATGCTCCCACTTGTGTCTCTTGGCTGCTCTCCCGTGCACAGAAGACTTGCTCCATGACTTTGCTGGAACCAGGATGCCAGCCGGCCTGCGTGGCCCTCTTGGTTTCTATTGAGGATGGTTTGCTGGCTTGCTCTTGTTGGAATTCTCAGCCTCTGTTCGGCTTTGGCTCTCCTGACACCAAGTGGTCTGTTTCTCATCTTCATTCTCCTACAGACCGCTGCTTTTTCCATCTCCTGTGTGCTGGTTGTTTGCATAGCAGCTGTGCCACGAGTTCCCTGCTCAGCCCCGCAGCCCTTCTGACACTCCCACTCCTTTTCCCACATCAGGCCCTGTTCTTGTAGGCTTCAGCAGGCAGTCTTCCCAGGCCTTAGCATCCAGTGCTGCCTTCCAGACCCGATGAGATAATGGTTTGAAAACACTTATTTCTGACTAAGCCTCCACTGCCTGAGCTTTGGGACCTGCTTGCCAGCCACGTGCTGGGAAGTGTGAGATGGTGAAGGCCATTTCTGGCATCCCTTGCCCAGCTCACCCTGCAGATCCCTTCATCCATACGAGCTGGGTCTACGTGGAGCTGTGCAGCCTCTGCAGCTCCATGGAGTCAGCGCGCATCATCACTGCTTCTTTAGGCCTCCATTCCTCTTTGAATTGCTAGCTTTCATTTTCTTTAATTAACCAATTTAGTAAGCAGCAGCCAGGAACACTTGAGGAAATGAGCTCAGCAGTTGCAGAGGTGACTTCTCCATGTGAAGATGTGTGTGTGGTGGGACAGGCTGAGGATGAGCCGTGGCCTTGGCTGCCGTGCCCACCTCCCTTCAGATTCACTGCACAGATTCATTGCACCACATGCGTTGTTTTCCTCTCAGCCGTCATTACCAGAGCTCTTTCCAATGGGAGTGGGTTTCTCCCAATGGGGTCGGCAGTTCCCAAGTCCTCTTCATTTTCTCATCAGCTCAGGGTGCCCACAGGAGTCCGATGTGGCAGCACTGTGAGCCGAGTGCAAGGCAAACAGCAGCTGCTCAGCACTTTGCTGTGCTGTGCCAATGTCTGCTGAGCAGCAGGGCTGTGCTGGCATCACCTGCGTGCAGAGGGGATGAAGGAGAAGCTTCTGCGTTGTGTGATTCCATCTGGGTGTAGCACTCCCACCCCCTTCTCATTTCTGTGAGAAGCCATCAGTTTCGTTTAGCGACGGCTTCTTTTTAGTTTGGAAACTGGATTTCTGGAGCTGAAGGCTGCCCTAGCAAGGCCAAGGGATGCACTGCCCTGAAAGCCCAGCTGGGTGCTGTCTGCTGACTGCTGTTCTGTCCACCTTGGCTTCTGTCCCTGCCCTCTCTTCTCGCAGGGTGTTCTGATCAGGAGTTGTCGTTGGGGAGTGGGAAAGGTGCAGAGTTGTGCTCACAGAATCACAGAATCACCCGGGTTGGAAGGGACCTCAAGGATCATGTAGTTCCAACCCCCCTGCCTACCAGGGCCACCAAACGTACACATTTGCTCAGGTGCTCAGGTGAAGGTAGTAAAGAAAAGACATGGGGGATGTGGTCACTGTCTGGGTAACTGGGGGGCGGGCAGCAGGAGGGGTGAGCACGTGTAAGCTGGAGGACAGCATTCTCACAGGAACAAATGGGTATGAAGTAAGTAGGGATGAACTTGGAGCCGCTTTTGGAAAGGCAGAGCTTTGGAGGGGGATTTCTAGGATGCTCTCTCAGATTGGAGGTGCTGGGGTGAAAGCCCCACAGATTTCCCTGTGGAGCTCCTTGTTTAGGGGGGGCAATAATAGGTACAGTGTAACTGCTGGGCTTTGGCCTGGGTGGCGACTTTTGGTCCCCTGTATCCACAAGCACGGTTACGTGTGTATGGGATAAAAACCAAAGTAGCTTTGCCTGCCTTGTCACTGATCTTGGACTGTGCATCAACATTTAAGCCATCCAAGGCTGTGCAGGACAGCTGCTGGCCAAGGAACAGCAGATTCTCCCCGTGTTCTGGGGACTGAATGCAAGGAAGCAGAGCAGGACCTGCTCTGTTCACCTGCTCTGCACTGAGGCCCAGAACTGCGAGGGCAGCTTGGCAGGGCGATGCTGTACTGAGGGTGCAGACAGTGCTTTGGGTGCAGCCCTCCTCGCCCAGGGATGTGGCCTGGATCTTTAGGGGCTGCTCACAGAATCGGGACCCAGTTCTGCTGATGTGGCTTTTGTCAGAAGCTGGGGCTGCAATACCCTGCCTATGGAGCGAGCCCTGCGTGCCATCTCTGCATGGTGTGGGCTCCCTCTTGGGCTCATCTTTGTTTTCTTAGGTTAGTATGCTTGGCTCCATGTGATGAACGTGTTTCTAATTGATAAATAATGCATTTTCTTAATTAGGAGAAAAAAAACTCAGATAAGCAATTGCGGACTAACCATCTGTGACTGGGATTTCAGAGCTGTACCTCACCACAGTGTGCATTTCCTGTTCCGTTTGCTGAAGTCACCTGTAGGTCTTTAAAGGAGGAAGGCCTAGAGGGTGGATCTGAGGTCCTCTGTTGTGTTTGTTTGTGTGGCAGTTCAATATCAGAGTAAATGTGCGTCAGGAAGGTTTGCTCTGTGCTGGTGGAGGTGTTTTGATGCATGGTGAGAGGGCAGGGTGCTGCTCCTGCACGAGGGCCTGGCTTGGTGTAGATCTGGCATCTTTCAAAAGCAAGTGTGGCAATTAACAGGGGCTGTTTATACAAGGAAATGGGCGACGTGACGTTAATTGGGTTTAGATGGGCTGGTGATGTATTGCATCTCATAACAAAGCAGATGAAGGCAGAAATGTGCCAGGCAGCTCTTCCTTGCCAGCAGAGACTGCTGCAGAGCCAAGCAGGGTTGTCAGGAGAGCCCCTAAGTGGGGAGCCTGCATCCCTGTGCTGCTGTAGCACACAGAGCAGATAAATATCCACTGAAATGTCCTTTGCCTGAAATGTTCCAACAAGTTTTGCATTGTTACTCTCAGATTCTTTTCATAAGAGTTAAGCGTTGTCTTCAAGGCTACTTTTGCTGTCACACTTCAGCTCTGCCTGCTCTGGGCCCCCAGCTGCTCATAAGCTCTACAGATATAGGCAGGAATGAGAGCTTTTTCTCTCTTGTCTCCAGGAGTGAAGGCTGACCCAAAGCGCACAAACGCGTTGTTTGGTGGCTGCTCACCCAGGAGTTCGGCTGCTGACACCTTTCACTTTCTGCTCTTCCTGCAGGAGGTGCCCCTGTGCCTTTGTTCCCCGTGAGGTTTGCAGCACTGCTCTCGATATTCAGTCCTGAATTTACAGCTGGGGGATCATTGAGATGAACTGATCTCCACGGTGTCCGAAGCAGCAAATAAGAGCTTGGGGTTCTTTCATGCAATGCATGCCAACCTTGGGAAAGTTCCTGGTGTATTTAAATATTTGCATGATGGATTATGTTGGAGTTCATTTTCCTCCTTTGCATTTGCTTCAGTTTTGGTGGTGACAACTCTCTGGCGAGGGCTGATCTAAAACAATGTGTTCTTCCCTGCAGGACACAGCTTAGGCTATGGTTTTGTGAACTACGTTACTGCAAAAGATGCAGAAAGAGCAATAAACACACTGAACGGCCTCAGACTGCAGTCAAAAACTATCAAGGTAGGACGTACAGATGAGTCTGTGACAACAGCATTGTAATAAGCTTGTAATCAGGATGCTGATTGGTTCTGGTGGCGTGGCCATGATTCTTCCCTTTGCCCTGGCAGTTTTCTTTTGCCCACCTGCCTTTCCTGAACTCCAGGAAATGAAACAGAAGAAGCTTGTGTTGTTCATTGGGGTCTAAACGCGACAACTGATGACAATAAGCTGCTCTCTCCATTTAAACAGACCCCCTTTTATATTTAATTTCAATGATTGATTTGTTTCAAGGTCTCCTATGCTCGTCCAAGTTCTGAAGTTATCAAGGACGCTAATTTATACATCAGTGGGCTCCCGAGGTCGATGACACAGAAGGATGTAGAAGATATGTTCTCACGTTTTGGACGCATCATCAATTCCCGTGTGCTCGTGGATCAAACCACAGGTGGGTCCAATTGCATCAGGTGGGACTGTGATGCACAGCACCTCCGGTGCCTCCTCAGAGTCTGGCTGTTCTTGGGCTGCTTTAAGCCAGTTTGGTTCCTTTCTGGCAAACTGTGGCACCTGGTGTCAGCATGGACACGAGTGGGACGCGCTGCCCTTTGTTGATGTGGTCTTGGTTTTGCGTTCTGTTTGTAAGCACAAGGAATGGCTGAGGCTGCAGCCTGAGCTCCTCACTTACTCTGTGTTTTCACCACCACTTGTACCAGGCTGAGCTGCTGCTTTGCCACATCTCTGCTGCTCTGACATTCAGTGCAGTGCGTTCCTGCCGCGCTGCTGGCCAGCATTTAATTCTTACCAACACAGCTGCTATTCACAGGTGAACACAAGCTCCAGATGGAAGCACCAACGTGTTTCCTCCTTTATGCTAACTTGGAATTCATTCACGCAATTTCTTGATACTTTAAAACCACCTGAGGTGTTGAACGGTCCTCTGTGGTCACTACAGACCAGAAGAATGAAGCTCGGATGTGAATTCCTGCCCTGGAATTTTCTGAATATTATGGCTTAAAAACAAAACCAAAACCACCACCACCAAAACGCCCTAAAGAACAAAGAAATGCCTTTGTTAATTGCTGAGCTCAGGGGGGACTGAAGCTGACTTGGTGTTACGGATGTGTTTTCAGTTCTAATTTCTTACCTCGTGATTTCCAGCTGTATGACTGAATAGTTGGGCTTGTCCTGTGACCTGAGCGCTCTGGTTTTTCTAGCAGCCCATCTGTCACTTAGGAAAGTACTTCTGCACATGCACTCTGCTGTTAACAAGGCGTGCAGTGGATTAGAATAGAAATCAATGGGGAATGAGGTGTGATGCAGTGAGGTGAATTCAGACACGGCCGCAGGCTTGCTTGTGCACATGGCTTAAGGAGCAGCTTTGATCTCTGTGAGCAGCGGGCTGCAATTTAGCGTGGGCAGTCAGCAGTGTGAAGTCTTACCATGTACATAGGCCGCTCTGAAAGTAATGCCTCCTATTTATCTCCGTGAAAACTACAAGTGTCACAAAGAGCATCGTAATGCCCTCTGGTGGATCACGTTCTCAGCCACAAAATGCTGTTTTTTCACTGTGATCACCACCATGAGCTATGCATTTTCCCCAGCACGAACAACAGCTGCATGCAGTGGAGGTGATGCTCTGTTTCACAGCTGCCACAGTGGCATTCCATGCCAGGAAGATGTTGCCCACAGAGTCCACCTTTCATCAGATGGAACTGAGAAGCCCCAAATCTGGGCTGTGCAGTGGGTGCACATCGTGTTCCTCTCTGCAGGCTGTGTTGTGAACTTGTTCTTCACCGGGGAAACCAGCCCTCCATGGACTGCTGGTTTGAGTCTGGCTGGCAGAGGTGGCACCACCTCTCATCAGGAGTAGTGATGCAACCTAGGAAACCCTCACCTTCAGCTCAGCAGGTCCTGGCGAACTGGCAGATGGTTTTCTTTCTGTTCCTGTGTGAGCAGTTGTGGGACCCACCTGGCTCAGCCTTTCTGATATCCCAGCACTGCCACCATTGCTTCCAACACATTGAAGCCAGTGTTTAATTCTATATGCAGTTCCCAGTTTGCAGATGAGCTGATCAGGATGCTCTTCATTTCATGGTGTAACAGCTGTGTGCCATTTCCAGTGTGGCTTCTCTTTCACATCACTGCTGGAATTCACCACCCACCCCTCGCTGTGTTCCCAACTGCTGTTTGGTCTCCAGTAAACACACAGTAAGGATCAAAGAATGTCCATGGGACGTGCGTGGCAACAAAATGTAATGGCATATTGGTGGGAAGGTTCATCCCCTACTGCCACCCCACCGACATCCACCTCTGAGATTGTCGACCAACATCGTGGAATAGGAGGCATTACTTTCAGAGCAGCCCTTGTGCCTCCCTCCGAGCTGATCCCCCGTGCAGGGAGCTGCTGCTCAGTGCTCCAGTTTGATCAGGCACTGTAAATGTGGATGCAGGTGAGGTCTGGATACCCATCTGCAGGCACTGCCAAGCTGAGCAAGAGAATCCCGTCCTTCTGTCCTGGGGAGAGAAGGATTCATTTTCTGTAAGTGATGTCTGCACGGCTGTGAGCTGGTGATGTAGATCACAGCTGTAGGTAGAAGCAAGAAAGAGGGCACAGGAAGCTTACTGCTGGAAGTGTCCCAAGATAGCTGCCCTCCTCTGCCAGCAGGACCCGCGTAGCTCTGTCCCACTCAGATGCCCCTGTAGAGCGAGGTGGCAGATGCTGTCAGTGAGCAGTGAGAGTAATGTTGATCCTGCTGGCGCTGTGTGGTTGTGTCAGCCCAGGAGGGGCAGCTCCTGACACAGGTGGTCAGCACAGGATGTATTTCGGGTCTCATCATGCACACATCACCCGGGCGTCTGTTCCTGGACTACACACCTCCATCTGGGCCTGGCTGGGGCTGTGCTTCAGGGCTCACCTCCAGCAGAGGCCATCCTCCAGCTTTCAAGGCCTGACCTGTTCCAAGACACACCTCCACTGTATTTCGGATGAACCGAGGGAGAAGCACAGTGTCCCTCTGTTATGATGGTCTGCCTGGTGGCGTGCAGTCAATAGGATGAGATGTCATTTCCAGACCTTCTCCCGACGCCCTGAACACAGCCATGCCTTCTCTCACACCATTCTGGGGCAGTTTGAGGGCACAGATTCCCTTCTGCCTGCCACGTCCCCACATCACACTGTGTTCCTCCCCTAGCACAGAGGTAACCACGTTCAGTTCAGTGGGGTGTGATTGTTTATGGTGCAGGTGTGCAGAAGCAGAAGTCGTTGCTTTGGCCACATTACTGAAATAGGGGACCTGGCATGGATGAAACCGTGCATCCAGGAGGGTTAAACACCTCCTGCTGTGGTCTGCAAGTGTGCTGGAAAACTGAAAATGTTCGGAAAATCAGTGCCAATTTTGTATTTGCAAGTGATTTCTGGTGATACAGTAACCAAAACCATCACGAGCTTTCTGGTTTCATTTTTCTCCCCTTTGTGGGGTTCTTTTTGAGGGGGGGTGAATTTCAGATGCCTTTTGTTGTTGTTAATGGGAAATGTCACTTGATGCTCGATGCCACAGAGTTTGACCATGTTGGGTTTTCTTTACCTGCAGCACGTGGCAGGTGTGAGCTCACGGGTTGGTAGCAGTGGCACGAGCTCCTTGGTTTGCCTTTTGGTTCTGAGTTCTGTGTGTGATTCTCTAGCTGCTGATGAACCAGTAGTAAATGCAGACAACTTGAAAGCTACGACCGCAGAGATTTTTAACCTTTTAATTTTTACTTTCAAGATTATTTTGCGTTTATCCTGAATTTCATTTATTTGTTTTGTTGTTTTTTTTGTTTTGTTTTGTTTGTTTGTTTGTTTGTTATTTTTTTCTTTTTCTTTATCGATTTGGTTAAAAGGTTTATCCAGAGGGGTCGCATTTATCCGGTTTGACAAAAGGTCAGAAGCAGAAGAGGCAATTACAAATTTCAATGGTCACAAACCCCCAGGTTCCTCCGAACCCATCACGGTGAAGTTTGCAGCCAATCCCAACCAGAACAAAAACGTGGCACTGTTGTCCCAGCTGTGTCATTCACCAGCGAGGCGGTTCGGAGGGCCGGTCCACCACCAGGCGCAGAGATTCAGGTAGGTTAGGAGGGATCCTGGTTGCAGCTGCATGCTGAGGCTCCTCACTGCAGCGCTGCGCAGCGCGATGTGAACGGATCGCTGAATTAAAAGGCGATGAAGAGTGAAAGCTCACTTGTAAAGCGTGTGCTGAAGGCAGCGGTGCGAAGGCGCAGGCAACTGTGTGTCGCCGCGGCTCAGCGCGCTGCAGGTGCCCGTCTCAACAGATCCCCACTCTGTCGTCCCTGTATCTGAATGCAGATCCATTTTGGCAGCTTTTAATTAAAGCTCTGAACCATTGGTTCCAGCAGAGGGGGAAAATTAGTAAAGCACAGTAAGTTGGGAAAACCGTGAGTTTGAGGAGGAGGGCGGCTGGGGTTTCGACCTCTGTCTCCTCCTGGTGAGGTCAGGGAGGTGGTTGGGTCATGGCAGCGTTCCTCTGCTTCCTGAGCTGTGGAAATCATTCTGCACTTTGCTCCTGAGATTTGCTGTATCTGCTTTGGATTTGAATAGACTGAATTTGAAGATGAGTTGCCTTAGTTGCTTAAAGAAGAATGCTGATGCTCAGGAGCACGTGTTGAGCTTGCTGTCCTGCAGATGAGACACTGGCTTTGTTCTGAGGCATTCCTGATAGTTTGAGTTCTTGCCCTGTTGAGAATTGACATCTGATTTTTCCCTCCTCTGAGTTACGGATTAGCTCAGGAACACCTGGACTGCAAAACGCAGGGCAGTCGATGCAGTACCAGCATTGTGGTGACCATAGCAGAGCCGTTCAGAAGAGCCAGGCCCAGTAGGAACAGGGCTTCTGTCATCTGTTGCCTTATAGGAAACATAAGAAAAAATCCTTACCACGTGATTGGACACTTAGAGAGGCTGTGTGTGCTCCAAATCTGCCATCCCTGAGCAATCTGCTTCCTTTCTGCTGTAGCTCAGGGGGTTCCATGCAGGCGCTCCCCAGCTCTCCTCAAGCTCTGTTGCATTCCCTCTCCTGGGCAGCTCCTGCTCCCAGCTGTGAGCTTGCTGCTGGAGGAGGAACAGAAGATGTTCTGTTAGGTTGGCTGAGGTAATGGAGGAGCAGGTCTGGGTTACGGCTTGCTGCTCTGGGCAGGTAATGGAGCTGAGGTGAAGCTTCTCCAGTTGACTTGAAGAAGAGCCGTCCGTTTCTCTTCATGTCTTGAGTGTGTCCAGAGAGGGGCAGTGGAGCTGTGAGGGGTCTGGAGCCCACATGTTAGTGGGGAACAGCTGAGGGAATGGAGTGGGTCAGTCTGGAGGAGGCTCAGGAGGACCTCACCACCTCCCTACAACTGCCTGAAAGGAGGCTGCAGTGGGGGAAGGTCAGCCCTGCTCCAGGTAACAGCAATGGGACCAGAGGAAATGGCCTCAGGTTGTGCCAGGGTAGGTCAGCTTGGATAATATAGGGACAATTTCTTCTCCAGAAGAGTGGTCAGAGGCTGGAACGGGCTGCTCGGGGGGTGGTGGATCACCATCCCTGGAGGTGTTCAAGGAACGTGTGGATGTGGTACTGAGGGACGTGGTGCAGTGGGCAGCATTGGTGGTAGGAGGGTGGTGGGACTGGGTGATCGTGGAGGTCTTTTCCAGCCTTGGTGATTCTGCGATTCTTTAGGAGTTTGGCCGGCACATCCACTGTCCCACAGCCCTTATTTCTTCCCACCCTTCAGGCTGACTGCAGGGAGTTGGAAGTTGATCCTTGAGGTCCTTTCCAACCCGAGCCATCCTACGCTCCTAAGATGCTGACAGTGAGAGCAGTTGATGCTGTGTGAAAGCTTAGGGGCCGTGGCTTGGGCTGGGCCTTGTCTGCCTTCTGCAGTGTACAAAGCCTGCTGAGATGATCAGCTGCCCCCAGAGAGCTCCCAGCCTGCAGAAATGATGCTACTCCTGAGGCTGAATACTTCAGCTAGCATTTTGATTACGCTCCATCTCGTTCCATCATATGATGGAAGGTAAATCCAGGATTAAGTCTTTTGTGTCTCTAATTTGTAATTATGAATTTCTACAGATATTGCTCAGATCCTTTCCTGAACATTCCTTTAATCCCTTCTAGTTCCTGCAGTGTTTGTGGCTTGCAGCTCACATCAGGGCTGGCCTTCATGGGCAGTGGATCTCCGTGTGTTGAACTCTTCAGGAATCATCTTCCAAAGGCTGAAAATCCAGACCAAAGTCCCCAGCTGCCCTATGTACTCTTCTACAGTTCACCATTTTTATGCTAGAAGAATGTTTGTTGGCTTGGGTTTAGTTGTTTTTTGTTTCTTGCAGATCTTGAAAATAGTGCTGGGTAAGCTGAAGTGCTTCCAGGCTTGTTGAGAGTTAGAGCTTAGGAATGTACCTTTGGAGATGGTGTTCTAGCGTGTTTAAAGTCAGCCCTGCAGTGTATTGAAGATGTAGAGGTTGGTGGCCCTGCCTGTGGCAGGAGGGTCGGTATCTGATCCTTGGGATCCCTTCCAACCCAAGCCATTCTGTGAGTGAATCTGTTTCATAAGAGTTAGCAAAGGGGCATTTGTATAAACTTGCAAAATGAAAGTTGACAGATAAAGATTAGGCTTACAATGGGGCTGTGACTCAACCTGGCAGGCAGGTTCCCTGACAGGGGGGAAAATCAGGGAGGAAAAACAGCAGCACTTCACAGCTAAGGTAAAAACTATTTGCTAAGACAGGAAAGAAAGAGAAATACGTGTATTATCACCATTACTGCTACATACTGCTTACAAGTGATGCACGATGCAGTTGCTCACCTCCCACTGGCTGATGCCCAGCTTGCCCTCAGCACTGCAGGTCAAACACCCCTCTGGCCAGTGTGGGTCAGCTGTGATGGGGCTGTTTGGGTTTTGCTTGTTTTGATAAACCTGAAGCATTTCTGTGAGTCAAAAAGCTGAAAGAGGAGAACTTGTTTGAAATGAGTTGTGCTCAAAGCGTGGCAGGGCTTAGTGTTTCCCATGATTTTGCACGTTCTAGATTTGTTGTCCTCTGCCTTTCAAGCCCCATCTCCTTTGCAGCACGTATTGTGGTGGGGTCTTGCTGCCCTGGGGCTTTGTAGCAGGCAGGTGCTGCTGGAACCAATGCTGCATGGCTCTGAGCTTAGGGATTCCTGCACACAGCGACCCAAGACTGGTGATCTGTTGAGATGAACCTTTTCCTGATAGCAATTAAGATAAGGAGATGATTACTCACACAGAAGAGTTAGAAAGCTGAAAAGTGTCTGTTGGGGAAAAAAAAAAACAAAAAAAAACCAAACCAAAAAACAAAGAAAGAACTACAAGGATATGAAGCATGCCAACAGAGGAACGTTTTCATATGGAAGCAAAATAAATGCTGAGTAGATGTCACAGAACTACGTGGGTTAGCGCGTTTCATTCTGCTCCTCTTAACCGCTTTCTCAGTTTTACTGTAGTGCAAGGATTCCCAAACTCGGATGTGCTCGGGGTTGGCCAGCAGTGGCAGCAGCAGTGAGTACCTGCAGCGTGAGCTCAGGGGCAGCCGCGCCAGCAGCAGGCTGGGCTGCAGGCAGCAGCGGAGCCCAGAGGGGAGGGCTGTGCCCCGCAGGCTCCCCCTGGGCCAGGAGGGTCTCCCAGCTCAGCTGCCCTGGGAGGTGAGCTCCCCTGGAGAGCCGGGGCTGCGGGTTGGGGCCGAGCTGATCGCTAGGCGTGATGCACCCACTGCGCACGGTGCTGATGTGGCTGCCCTGCCTCTGTGCTGCCCTGCGGCTCTGCTCCCTGTCCTCCTCGTTCACGCTGCTGCAAGCCCTCTCTTCCATACGAAGGCAGCTCCTGTCTTTACACAGGGTGAGGAAAAAGTCAGCGGGGAAGTGCTGGGCACTGCGTGCCGTGCTCGCTGCCCAGACATGCGTTCCCTGTTTCCTCCAGGTCAGCAGAGAATCAGGATCTGCCACCGCCATGTCCTTGGCAGAGAGCAGCACGTGTACCGCATTTAAGTGGTTTGCATATCACCAGTGGTACACCACAGTTTGGGAACCCCTGGTATAGTATAATTATATTTCTACAATCACGTGGCCTCTCATTTTTGTATAATACATAAGCAAAAGGGATCAAATGGAGGTTTTCTGCTTTAACTTTCGCATTTCCTGACCTTTGAGTGCTTAGCTGTGCAACCGTAATATTGCATTAAAATGTCCTAAAGCTCTGAATTTCCAGGACAAAGAGCAGAAATAGAAGATTAGAGGGGACTGATACGTGGCTTACGGGAGGAAAGAAAATAATGCAAAGCAAGATATAGCAGAAAATAATTGTTTCTTCTTACTCACATGCCAGAGGGTAGATTTAAGAGCGGGCAGTGGTGGTGAGATACCCAGTTCAGTCAAGTCAGGGTATGGAGTTGGCATAAAGTGGGTGAGAAGAGAACTGTAAATACTTAAAACTCGTGCACTGTTTTTACATTTGAAAACCACTGCAGTTAAGAGATGTTCATACCTGAATTAAGGAATGATAAACCCAAATGTCAGTTCTGGAGCTAGAAGTGTGGGGCAGCCCAGCTGCGGAGGGTGGCCTGGGGAAGCACCAGCATGTCCTTGGCTCTGTTCTTGTCCTGGTCCACAGACAGAGATTGAAATTAGCACATGCACAAACGCTACTCCTGAAAGAAACCCTCGGATTTAGGGGGTTGCCAATGTGCTACTGCAGAGCCAGAAAAAAATAGAAGGGTATTGGCACAGCTGAGGATATTGGATGTTGGAGCTGAGGGTGGCTGGGGTCAGGCTGGGCTGCGGGGAGGGGCTGCACATCGCCCCGTGCTCCGGCAGTGCTGCCCTGCCTTCCAAGGGTTGACCTGAGTCCCCTGTGGAGGTGCTGGCCCAAACTTGCCTTGGGGCGGCGCCACGGCTGCCGGTTTGTGAGGGCAGCTCCCTGTAGGGATAAGTGAAGCACGCGGAACACGTAGCGCTGCTTCTCCTGGCCGCTGTCATGTGGTTGATTGTCAATTTGAATGCGTAAACGTTTCTTTCTGGCGGTTTTGATATCCGTGTAGAAAATATTCGTTCTCAGTCGCTTCCCGTTCAAGTTGATTTGCTGAATTGAATTGAACTTTTACATGCAATATTGTGCTTTTTATTTGCTAGGTTCTCTCCTATGGGTGTAGATCACATGAGTGGGCTTTCTGGTGTAAATGTTCCAGGAAACGCATCTTCTGGCTGGTGTATCTTCATCTACAACCTTGGTCAAGATGCTGATGAGGGAATCCTCTGGCAGATGTTTGGCCCCTTTGGTGCGGTTACCAATGTGAAAGTTATTCGGGATTTCAACACCAACAAGTGCAAAGGTTTTGGTTTTGTGACCATGACAAACTATGAAGAAGCTGCAATGGCCATAGCAAGTCTTAATGGCTACCGCCTGGGGGACAAAATCTTACAGGTTTCCTTCAAAACCAACAAGTCCCACAAATAACTTGCTCGTGCTTTTTGTATGGAATAGATAATGGAGTGACAGAAGTTGAAACATTTTTGTTAGTGTAAAACTCATTTTGCGCCAATTTTCACAAGTGTTTGTCTTAGTCTAAATGAGAAGTGGAAAAGGTTTTATATTCTGGGATGCAACTGACATGTTCAAATGTTTGAAATCCCACAATGTTAGACCAATTTTAAGTTGCTTTAAGTTATTTCATTTAAAAACATGTTAAAAAATAATAATAATAACAACCCCCTGAAATCTGAAGTAGATTGCATTTAACTAGACCCTCTGGATGGTGGTAAAATTGGAGCATGCTTTCACTTATGAGACTAACATTTGTTCCATTGAATGTTGTCTGCAAAAACTGGAATCTCTTCTAAAAACTATCAGGCTGAATTAATGGATTTGCTTGTTTCTCATGTTGTTGTTTTTCTCACCCATTCTCCTGACCCCTCTGCCCCCCCCCCCAACTCACTGGTATGGAAGAAAAGTTGAGAAATACTAATGTTTTAGTTGACAGTAAATTTGTTTTGCCGATTAATACTCATTGCTACGTGTCGTTGAGGATTACGCTTTATAAAGTCGAGGTCTTGTAAGTAGTAGCATGCCAGCATAACTTTTAACACCATTGGTGAGGTAAGTTGCACACCGAGCGGTGGCCCAGCTGTCAAATTGAAAGGTTTTAGCAACATTTCCTTTTAAAGCCCAACATTTTTAATAGGAACGGACCAAAGAGTTTCAAAGAAACTCCGGGAAGATTTCAGAGTCAAAATGAAACTCCACAAAAGTGTGAATATGTGTCGCTACGTTATCAAACTGAATCTCTTCTGTCCAGATATTTAATGCATGGTGCACTACTTACTGGTACATTATAACGCAGCAAGATACTCGTTTTCAAAGATCATTATAGTCTGAATTCCTTTGGTAGTTCTATTTTGTAAAGAAAAAAAAAATTGTAAACATTTGAGCATTGTATTTCTCGCATCCCTTCTAATGAGTGCTAGATTTTTCTATTTTAATAGGATTTTGTTTTGACAACTAGCTTTACTTATTGAACACTCAGCAGAAAAGTACTTACGACTTGCAAGTTAGATATTAACAAAGAAAACCCTTTGATTTGTAGATTTAAAGATTAATCCCCCAAGTTTTCTGCAGACTGCCTTGAAACTTTGAGTTGTTCTGTTTCTGTTAATTTTCTTTTGCTTTTTTGTGTTTTTTGTTTGTTTTTACTTTTGCATTTAAGAACATTAAATTTGATTTTGTTTTGCTCAAATTTTGTTTTGTTTTTTATTTTCTGTTATTTTTTTGCTTAAGTATTGCACAAAACGTCCAGCTTTCAAGAAAGTGTTGTTTTATAAAGAGCGTAGTTCCTCTTAAAGAGTCTTAATTTCGTCCTTTGACAGATGAGTAGAAGAAAAAGGGATGTGAAATGAGAGCACTGCAGTCCATCTGTCACATAGAGCCTGTGTGCCCCGGGCCGACGTAACCCTGCGGTGCTCTTTGGTAGGAGGCCTGGGACGGATTTGGGGTACAGGCTGTGTGAGGATGCTGTGCGTGGTAGAGACGTGCTCTGTGCGACCTCCAGGTAGGTTCAGTTGCCAAAAAGTTAGGGCAGATGGGAAGCTGGGTCAGTTCTGTTGCAGTGTCTCCTTTTCGTGTGAACCTCTGCCGGTCCCAAGCTGCGTTCCTGTGCCAGAGGCTGATCCTGGCTGCCTGCAGCGCTCCCATCCCCTGCTGACCTTGCCTTGCGTTGGAGAACCTCACTTTCCTTCTTGCAGCAGGACTAGCAGTCGCCCCAGGAAACCTGCACTTCATCTCTGCACAGCACAGCCTGAGAGCAGCTGAACGCACTGCCCAGCTCCGGTGCTTGCTCTCAGCACTGCCTGGGATCTGCTGCTGCTGGTAGCTGTGGGTACGGACAGGGCGCAGTGAGCGCCTCCCGCTGCCTTTGAGCAACGTAGGCAGTGTTTGCCCTTTGCACGTTCTGCCTCGCCAGTCCTGCCCGTCCTGCTTGCTCTCTTCTGAGAAGCCCAATAAAAAGTACAGCATTCCAGGACGGGGAATGGAAGCCCACTTTGGCACAGTGGTGCTTTGTAGGGCAGTGGCTGTGCCGGAGCAGTCCCCGTTCCCAAGCGTGCTGTCTGCCATCCACTTCTGGCTGTCTCTTCCAGCATCTATTCCAGATGTTTCTGTGTTTATCATCCATTTATCACTTCAACAAAACCTTTTCTGTTGTGCAGGAGAAGGTTTAGAAGCGCTGTTGGGATTTCTCCCAGATCACAGCTGCTCAGTGCAGAGCAGTCTTTTGCTGTGTCCCATCACCTCACTACTTCACTGTTCCACTGGAGTGAACCTCAAGTGGTTTCCAGTTTCCTCTGATTCTCTCTTGCCTTGTTTCATGTAAGATTTTTGTAACCAAAAGGCAGCTGCTGCTTTACCAGTGGATCATGCTGAGATCCACTCTTCCCAAATCCAACTTTGCATCCATCACCATTACAGGCATGCTGCTCTTCACACCACTGCTTGCTCACCAACAACCTCATTCTCTTTTAACTTTTCTTGGAGGCTTTTTAGCACAACTGTCATCCAACTGCTTCCTTATTTCCCCCTCTCCTATTCTTTACTAAATAAGAAGGAAATTCAGGATATTGTTTCAGTAGAGCTATGGAAGTTTCCCCTAAGAGGTGTCTGATCCTGGACTTGTTTGGTAGTTGCTCTGGGAACAGTTCCTGGGCAGTTCAGCCAAGCAAAGCGTTGCCTCTTGAGTCAGGAAAGGAGGAAGAAAGTGTCCCACTAAAACACCAAGAGCTGACGGTGGCAGAAGCACTTGGTCTGTTGGCTGTGCCGTTCTCACAGTCAGTGTTTGGCTTTAGCAGCTGAGCTCAAGAAATTAAGCGTATGTATTCTTGATGCTTTTGGCCCTAAACTGTAACCTATGCATTGCACTGGTAAAGGGCAAAAAGAAGCTGCTGGAAGTGGAAGCTGGCTTGTAAGACCAGAAAGGTGCAAAGAGCTGGCCGTCCTTCCCACATCATCCACACACCTCTCTTTCAGGCTGAGCCCTGATTTCACCTCTTTCCAAAGCAGTCTTGGCCTCATAGCTCTCAGGGACTTGAAGGTAAGAAAGGTTATCTGCAGTTTTCATCCTTTCATTCGAGGTGTTGTGGTTCCTTTCAGGTGACCCTTCTGTCTATGGATCACAAGGTCTTACAAGAACGTGACTGGAGCTTGGTCGTGTTGCTCAGCAGTCCCATCCTATTGCTGCTTAGGGTGTTACGATGGGATTTTCAGGAGCTGGGTTCTGTAGACCATCCAGGAGATGTTTTATATGGTGTCAGGACCCTGAATGTGGAACGCTCTCCTTCTCTTACTCAACATCCATCCATTTCTCTGCTTCTGTTTTTCCAACACCTGCTGTGCTTGGCAGCCCCAAGGGATGGCTGTGCTGTTTGGGACTGCGCCAGCCCTGCAGGGTGGGCTGTGTTCTTCAGGGACTGCAGGGTTTCACTCTAAAACGAGACAGTGCTGAGCAGAGAGCTGTCCTGAGGGTGGCTCAGAGCTGCCCCTAAACTTCTCTGAAAATGTTCTGGAGTTGAGCTGCGTTGTGCAGAACTTAACAAACAAACAAACCCACTAAAATGCAGGGGGTTTTTTTAGGTTGAAAAATTAAAAAAAAAAAAAAAAAAAAAAGTTTTAACAGAGTTTCCTTGCAGGCTTTGTTCAGGCTGGTCTTTTCTGATCTGTTGGTTTATTAATGAGCTTTTATTCCCACCCAGTACCTGAGCTTTACTTCCCAGATCCCTGGTAGGAATGGGCTGCAGCCCCTGCACAGACGTCCTGTTCACCATCTGCAGAGAGGGCCGTTGCACAGTAAATACAGAGCAGGGAGCTCCGGTGTTGCTGTGTGCCGTATGCAAGCTGGCAAAGGCGAGTACAGCCCCTTCAGGAGAAGAAATCAGAACCATCAGGAGGGTTCTGACCAGGGGCAGAACCAAAGCAGCGTAGCGTTCTGTTTTGTTTCCTCGTGGTTTCAATTTGGATTGTGCCTGGATGCTCAAGCGTTGAGTTTTTGTCCTTTGAGCCGCGCTGCTTCTCTGCAGTGTCTGTGCCGCACTCTGCTATGCAGAGGAGGGGAGCTGAGCCCCCCACTGCCCCCAGCCCCTTCCTATGCTGGGGGGAGGTCTGTCCCGTAGGGTGGAAGGAGCAGGAGCTGTCATAGCACAGCTCTGACGCTGCCCTCTGGTGCTGGTGTCCTTTGAACCTCTGTGTCGCGATGGCTCGGGCCCCAGTGAACATGGAGAGGCACCCGAGTCGCTGAGGCAGGGTGAGCCATGCTGCTGTCAGGCTCCCGTCCTGGCAGAGGCACAGCGTGCTGTGGGCAGATGGGTACAAAGCAATTAAAAGTGGGCACAGCGGCACCGATAGCAGGAGGGCTCTGCATCTGTGAGGAGGTGATGGAGTAACTGGAGAGGTAATGCAGATTTCGGATGCTAAGTTTCGGAAGCGAGTGGTCCCTAGGGTCCTTAAATAGTTGTTCTCATGTTATTTTGTTTTCATGTTTGGGTAAGATCAATAAAACGAAGATTCTTCACATATTTCAGGAAATTTTTTTTATTTTTTTTTTTTTCCCAGTGTATTCTAAACTGGAATAACTGATTTTTAGGTTTAGTTTATCATTATGTATGTGCTTAAGAAACAAAAAAAAAAACCCAACTGTTGAGAGCATCCCCTCGTGAGCTTTTCTACCCAAAGCAGCAGCTGAGTGGTAGAACAAACTGCTTATTGAAGCGAGGTCCTCCAGGAGACAAAACCCCCTGAGAACCAGTAGGATTTGGGGGTGGGTTTATTTTTCTATGTGAGACACAGCTTTTTGTGAACCACTGACGGGTCCCCGTGGCTCAGCTGCTGGAGCTCATAGGTTTACCTGTGTTTGTACAGATGGAGGTGTTTGTCCATGCTGTGCAGCACGAGGCGCCTTGCGCTGAAGCTCAGGGCACAAGTGCTGTGGAGAAGGGACCAAATTCACACCTGGCACAGGAGAACGCCGCTCCCTTTTGGCTCACCTCGTGGTTTTGTCACCCCCATGCTTTGGTACCACTATTGGGCAGCAGATCTCGTCTTATTCTGTGCCCTTTGCTGTAGCTCCGCACTTTGCAGTGCTGGTCCTTGCAGCAGCCGGAAGCTTAGCGCTCATCTCACACAGTTATTGCACCCCATTTGTTTTCTACTTTAAAAAGAAAGCGGTGAAAGTAAATAGCAAAACTGAGCCCAGCCTTCCTGCTCCCAGCGCGGCCGCAGACCCGGCGCAGCGTCTGCCTGCAAGCATTTTTCTGTGCGGGTGGAATTTCCACCACAAACACCACAAAAGTCGGCGTTGGCCACGGGAGGTGGGTAGGAGTAGGGCTGCACGTGGGACCTGCAGAAATGGCCGCTGCCTTCGGAGCCTTGATTCTCCCTGTTCCTCATTTCCAAAGGGGTTGGGGCGGCTGCACGGCCAAACGTCCTCAGTTGTCGTTGGGAAGAACTCGAAAGCAGTCAGGACAAACCTTGATCTGCCATATGAATCACACTGTACTCCTTTTCTTGATTTGGTTTCCCTTATCTTCTGTAACCTTTTGTTTATAAATTAACCTGTTTGTGGGACAGAAGGTTTTACCGATTGTTTTCCGTTCTGTACAGTACACGGTGAAACATTTTGTATATTTAGCGTGTTTTTAAGTTATTGGTTTGTTTTATATCAAATAATTTATTTTTCAGGTACCATTTTCATTTACGCTTTGTTTTTACATGGGTTTATTTTAAATAAAGTATGACACTGCTTTCCAAATGTCTGAAACGAAGTGCAATCCCCTTGTGTTATTTTGAGAGTATTGATGTGAAAACCGTATTTTAGAAAGAGTTGCACAAAGGCACCAATTCCTCCCCTTTGTCCTGCAGTTCGAGTGCTTGGGAATTCTCCGCTGTTTATTTCTTTTCTTTTCATTGGCTTGAAAATGTTGGGATTCTCATATTGAAACGGTTGAAAGGTGGGTTGAACGCAGCAGCGCTTTGGTGGAATCCTGTGGACGGAGTGTTGTTTCCTTATGGTATTTTCAAAATTAAAGGAAACAAAGCCTCGATCCCTCATCCTCGTTTTAATATAAACTCTGATTTAATTTAATATGAAAAAGGCTTGGTTTTCTTTTTGTTATTTGTTGGCCAACACGTTCCTTGCTGGTTTCGTTAGCTCCTTACTGATGCCGTGTTTGTCATGTGCCGAAATGAGCTGTGCTGGAAGCTGATGTGTCGCAGAATGGTCTCGAGCTTTTACTTGATGGTTCCTCCTTGGTTCTTCTCCTGCAGGAATTGGGGTTTCTTTGTGCAATTTGGAATTCTGATGTTTTTCTCAAAGCAATACAAACTGTGTTTGCAATTGGGTGGATCGAGCTCCGCTAAAGCTTTTGTTACGCGTAACACCATGAGAACGATGGGATTAAAAGGAGGCACAGGGCTGACCTTTTACCTTTCAGGAAGGGTTGTTCTCTCCGTCTTAGGACGCTTATCCCGCCTGATTAAAAAAACTGAATAAAATAATAATTAAAAAAGAGCACCGACGCCAAACCAGGCCCCAGCCACAGGCCGTTGCTCAGACATTTGGGGTTGGTTGGTTGGTATTTGTTTGCAGCTTTTGGAGAAAGCCCTTGGGATGCAGTGCTCCTCCAGGAAAGGGCAGCACCCGGTTGCTCTGCTCTGGGAAGGGTTGGCCCCGTGGGGGTTTGCAAAGCGCTCATGGAGCTGCGCTGGAGGGGCTGCTGCTGTCCTGCCCACAGCTGTGTGCCCTGTGCCTGGAGATGCCTGAGGCCACGCAGAGCCTGGGAGCCCTGAGCTGGTAGTGTGTCCCTGCCTGGGCTCAGAACTGAAGGGCCCCTGTCCTCCCTTCCGCCCCAACCACCCCACGGACGGCGCAGTGCTGCCAGCTCAGCTCGGAGCTTTGCAGAGCTGTGTTTCCAGTTCTTGCTGCTACAGAAATGGCCTGGTCTCCCAGTGCTTTCCAGATTGAAATTGTTCTTCCTGCTAGATCTGAAAGAGCAGAAATGAGTATTTTTGGTTACTGCCTATCAAACAGGTTATGGGGTATGCAATATCTATTGCAAACAGGAGCTCAGAACCCCCAGCACAGAATTTTAGACCATTCCTGGCTTCTTTGCGGCAGAACTGCAGCACCTCCAGTGTGATTCCTCCCAAAGGACATCACCCCAGTGGGATTGCTTTGCCCTGGTTCATACCAGCAACCTTTGTATCTTTCAATTCCATGAGAAGCAATAAGAGAAAACACACGCAGACAACCAGAAGGTTTTGCCTCGAGACGTGCCCATCAGGTTTGTCCCCCCTGTCAGAAATGCCCATTTTTACCAAGAGAAAAGAAATCCCAATCTAGTCTGGCCACGTTGAGCCTTGGGTGGAGGTAACTCGGGGTGGAGGTTCCTGCAGCTCTCCTGTTGGCTGCGCGCTGTGCCGGAGGCTGTTGGTGGCTCGTAGTGCTGTGCCTCTCTGCTGTCACCCCCAGATCTCCCAGGACAGTGATAGATGACACTGACTGCTGTCTCATTGGTACTCTGCTCTTTATAATATAAATATGTTTTTTTCCACTTGAATGGTACCTCTATTACATAATGCAGTTAATGTTATTTTTTTCGGATTGATTGACTTCTCTCTGCAGAGCTGCAGCTGGGTGCTCCTCACGTCCATCCAGGGGCTGGCGCAGAGCTTCACCACCTGACGTAAAGATAGCTGAGACTCTTTGTGCATTCTGAGTAACCAGCAGACTTCTGACACATCCTTTAACTCAACTTCTGTTTGAATGTGTTGGAACAGATCCTGCTCCCAAGCTCAGCCTGTGCATGCTGCAGAGAGCAGAGGAGAGCAGAGCAGGAATGGTTTGGCTTGGGAGCAGTGTGGGGTCGGTGTGAGCGGTGCTGGGCTGCAGCTCACGTGCCACAGGAGGAGTGTGTGCTCACACTCTCCAGACCTCAGCGTGGTGCTGCATTCACGTTGGCTCTGGTAAGTCAATCCCCGTGCTTTTTTGAAAGCAAACAGGTTTGGTCTTGGCCCAACCAGAAGTGTAAAATTGGGGTGAAGTGTTTCTGTGAGCACTTATCCTACCTGACACCTCTTTGTCTCAGTTTGTTCCCTCTGTTTTGCATCTGTCAGGCGATGAGTCTTCATGTGTGTGTGTATGCATGTGTTGAAGTGTAGGCTGTAGTTATGGATGGTTTATTTATAACATGCTTTTGTCTCAGTTGCATATATTGATGCGTTCTGTGCTCTGTGTGCACACGTACACTGTTCCACATGCATACACAGTGTGAAGGTAACTTGCAAATCATGTGCATCATCCTTTTTTAACAGAAAACTTGAAGTAAAAATACTTGTTTTTCATACAGTGAACTCGTACAAAGATGTATCCCTAAAAATCTGAGCTTTTGTCAAACTTCAGAGTCACGAAGATGTTTTGTAACAGCAGTGCAGTAATGTGACAAGCAGGAGACAGAGCTTTAAGAGAACACGATATCCACGTTTCTCTAAAAGTCCCCAAAATACCTTCAGACACCTCCATCTCGTGCATCATCTGGTAACACAGCATCGCTGCTCTTCAGGGATTGCTTCCCATTTGCTTCTCCCTGGGATCAGAATGCTGTCGCCTCTTTGAG